TTTTTTTTGTGGCTTTTCTTGCTCATCCAAACATGTTTGGATTCAGTATCATTTTTGTATTCGGTGCTCAGGGTGCACTGTACTGCATGTTGATAGAAGCAGCACACCTTGGTTAAAGACTTTCCTTTTAGGGTACAGTAGTGGTTTCCCCTTTAGAATTTAGTTTAACCTCCTCAAAACACGCAAGTCGTTTTGTGCTCCTTTTTTTATTTTGTACACCCAGTTTTCTTCTTACCTTATTATTGACCCAGATTTATATATGGCATTTTATTTGGAGAATGTAAATCTTCACCAGATTTAAAACCTTTTAAAAGTTAACCCTTATGGATTGTTCGGTCATGATATGGGGGGAATCAAGGGAGTTGAAGGGTTTTTAAATATTTGTGTTATTAAAGTGCAAATGAACGAGAACTTGGTGTTGTTGAAGAGCGAATGAGTCCAGTCCTGAATGGAAATAACTGAGGAGTGAATGAGTTCAGCCCTGACTCAGATCAGTGCATAAAGTGTAGCGATACTGGCTGCACATTGGCTGAAAGCTGAAGGCTTATCTTTACAGCAAGACAGGGACTCAGAGCAAATAGTTAAATCAATTCAAGAATTCTTGTGGAAATCAAAAGACAAATATTCTGGAATGGCTTTCACAATCCCCACATCTCAATCCCACAGAAATGCTTTCGACTGATTTAAGAATAGCTGTATCCAGGCACTGTGCATGCAGTCTGTCTGAGCAGAAGGAAACGGAATAAGCATTATTGATTCAACAAGATGTCTCGCACTTTTTGGGGAATTATCATAAACATCTGAAAGCTGTAATAAAAGCAGAAGGACAACGCATGCAATACTAAAACAGGAGTGTCAATCTGTCTTCAATGCAGACTTTTATTGAAATGAATATACGGTCATGTGAAAGAACACCCTCTTTCAATTAAATGGTTTTACATATCGGGTCATAAATAACAATCATCTGGTCCTCACCAACTTCTATAATTGGACAAATCTAGCCTCAGATAACAGACAACACTTCTATGTCAGACAGATTTCACTATGTCATTATTTATTCAACAAAAAGTAAGCCAAAATGAAGAAACCATGTTTGAAAAATTAAGAACACCCTTACTGCTTCCATAGGAATTAAGGTAATTAGCAGCCAGCTAATGTTCTTGATTAGTTGATCATCAGGAAGTGTGACCACTTCTATAAAAGCAGAACTTTTGGCAGTTTGGTGATCTGGAGCATTCAGCTGCGTGTTAACACTATGCCAAGGAGAAAAGACATCAGCAATAAACTTAAAAGAAGCAATTGTTGCTCCTCCTCAATCTGAGAAGGATTATTTACAAATGGAAATATTCAAGATCTTGCCAGGAGTGGGTGTCCCAGCAAATTTCACCCCAAGGTCAGACCATATAATGCTCAGAGCAATCGCAAAGAACCCAAGAGCTACATCTAGGGATCTAGAGGCCTCGGTTAACATGTTAAATGTCAACGTTCATGACCGTATGATCGGAAAAAGACTGAACAAGTATGGCTTTCATGGAAGGGTAGCCAGGAGAAAGCCCCTTCTCTCCAAAAAGAACATGGCAGCACAGCTTAGGTTTTCAAAGTTGCATCTGAACAAACCACAAGATTTCTGGAACAATGTCCTTTGGACAGATGAGACCAAAGTGGAGATGTTTGGTCATTACGCACAATGCCATGTTTGGCTAAAACCAAACACAGTGTATCGCCACAAACACCTCATACCAACCGTCAAGCACAATGGTGGAGGGGTCATGATTTGGGCTTGTTTTGCAGCCACAGGACCTGGGCCCCTTGCAGTCATCGAGTCGACCACAAACTCCTCTTTATACTACAGTATTCTAGAGACAAATGTGAGGCCATCTCTCCGACAGCTAAAGCTTGGCCGAAATTGGGTCCTGCAATAGGACAATGCTCCCAAGCACACCAGCAGATCTACAGTTGAATGGCTGAAAAAGAAAAGAATCAAGATGCTGGAATGGTCAAGTCGAAGTCTAGACCTCAACCCCATTGAGATGCTGTGGCGGGAGCTTAAGAGAGCTGTGCGTGTAAATGAATGCCCACCAACATCAATGAACTGAAGCAAGGATGTAAAGAAGAGGGGGCCAGAATTCCTGCAAAACGATGTGAGAGACAGGAAACTTTTACTTCAAGTTATTGCTGCTAAAGGTGGTTCTACAAGCTACTGAATCATGAGGTGTACTTAGATTTTCACACATGGGTTCTGCATGTTGGCTTATTTTTTGTTAAATAATGACATAGTGGAATCTTTTACGTGTTGTTTGTCACCTGAGGTTTGATTTACCTAATTTTAGGCCCTGGTAAGAACCGGATGATTTTTTTGCAATAATCTGGTAGAATACAGTATTTTGCACTGAATGTTACAATTGACTTCATATTTGATGCATCATATGGAGGTAATTAAGTACATGTACACTGTTGGCACCTGTGTTAGAGCAAATGTTTAGTTTTGCTGTGCACTACATTCTACTTTTCTGTGCCTCTCAAACACTTCTTTCCCTTTCTTTTATAGTGTCTGGTACTAAACTATGGGAAGAACTGCTGTAGTTCTGTTTGGCTTAAATGTGTTCTTTGAGAACCCAGCCTAATGAATGATACACAATCAATATACTTGTATCTAGAGCACTGACAAGGTAACCTTCTGTTTTCACAGACCTTTGGGAGTTCTACTTGCCCTATTTATATTCCTGTATTTCATTAATGGGAGGATTACTGCTTCTGTGTAAGTATGACTTTTTGAGTGCTTTTTAACCTTTTTTTAAAGCAAAGCTTTTTTGGGGTTTGGTAAGTGCTGAAGTGGAATTTAAAGCCTTTGGAATAAAATAATAAAATAAAATCTCAACCATTAACCCTTTCAGTAGGTGTGGAAAATGGAATACAAAGGGTTGGGTTCACAGACTGTGATTAGAGGTGGCTTTGGACTTGTATACTTAAAATAACATTACATAGTGCAAGATTACTGCTTATGGTGGTCTGTGAAGTTGTTGCTTCAAATAAGACTAATGAGCTAAAGTAATGGAAGAACTTAACTTCAGTTTTCTTTAATGCAATATCCAAAGCGACAATACAAATAAGTTAGCTGTATTTCTGTTTTATTTATTTGATAAATGTTTACATAGTTGCTTTGATGTGCATTAAATATGTAATTGAGAAACATTATTCTAATAATAGAAATGTGGTTGATTTGGAACATTTCCAAAGATGAATGAAGTCAATCTGGAAGAAAGCAATTTAAGACAGGGCAGCCTTTTAAAGAAAAACATTTAAAATAATTTGGTGTGCTGTAAATAATATTTTGTTATACTATCTTTTTAGTCGTGTGGATCTTACAGGTAGCTCAATATTGAATGGCCTTATCGAATTATTCTTATTTGGGGTCTTGCTTGTTATTTATGTCTGCTTCTGGGTGACTCTGCACTAAGGGGCGTGAGACAGAGCTACATTATTGTGCCAGACATGGTTCATATTGAAATTCTTATGCTTCCGTTTCATGTTTTTCTGTTGTTTTGTGTAGTATGCACACCAGTGGGTCTTTCCCGGATGTTTACAGTTGTGGGGCAGTTGCTTGTTAAACCAACAGTAAGTAGCTTGTTGACCTTTTTGATGCAGAATATTTTCTCGAGAAATTGTAATATGCAATAGATACACATCCCATAGACTGCTGTCTCACCAGGATCAAAACGGGTAGTAGGACATTTTAAGGCATACTAGTAAACTTTTCATGAAAGCTTCTGTTTCCTCTTATTTTATGCCTCATTTTGTTTTTACAAGTCTTTGCATTTCAAACATTCATTTGGTCAAATCAAAGCAGCCATAAGGATACTGTACATAAATAATTGTGGGGGACCTCTGTACTCAGCCAAACCTTTCTTGGCTTAAGCCCTTAGAAAAAAGCCTGAGCAGTTTTGGTGATCAAATAATATTTTTATTGGCAAATTTGATTTTCACATTAAACACAGTAGTGTTGTAAAATAATAGAAGATAGTTTCTCTGGATAACCACCATATTTTCTGTTCCCAAGTAACTTATTTGAAACGTTTTTTAATTTGTTCTGCATATTCGATAAATCCGTTGGGATGCGTTTTAGTTGTATAAATCTTTTTTTTCAATTTTCTTCAAATAAAATATAGATTTGACTTTCGCATCTAAGTAAAATGCTAAAGATAAATAATAAAATAACACATTCAAAGTGGCTCAAATACATTTGATCAAGTGAATTGAGATTATTCCTAATCTGTTGTGTCAGGTGTCTAGTGTCACTTGATTAACTTTCCTAGGTAGGAGGAAAGGCAATGCAATGGTTAAGAGCAATGATCTTATCACTGGGGTCTGCATTGTAGTTTGAGCCAGGACAGTTCCAGCCAGTCAGAGCTCCGTTATGTAAGATGGCGTGATGCTTATTTTTTCTCTTTCAATGTGTGATGCTCCAAAATAAAAATTAAAAAAAAATCTACAAATCAACTAGACGGTGTTATGAAATATATTTGAAAAAAAAATCAGAAACAGGCGTGCAGAGTTGCAGTTTACAGTGTAGGGATTGCTATTAAATTGCTGAATTTAAAGTTAATGAGGCAACCAGCTCCATTGCTTTTCTTTTCATTCAGTGAATCTGGAAAGCTGCACATCTCTTGGCTTAAAGTTGATGCGTAGTTCTGTCTTGAGAGAGTCAATTAATAATGCAACATATCGATGAACCAATTTTAGAAAAACACAGTAGTGTTTTAAAATGATCGAAGTGAAAAAAATGTGTTTGGGGGAGGATTTACAGTTCCCGATTTCTTTTCAAGCATTCACAAGGAGTTCACCTACTTTTACTATGCTCACCACCTGTTCTCACTCAAGGAAAACAAGACTGATCTCTGACTTGCTGTTGTAGCCATATTCTGTCAGTTATTTTAAACGTATTGAACAAGGGCACAGGGATTCATACTATACATATTCAGTCAGAATTTTTTCCATTTCAGGTGTATTGTGAATCCATGTCTCTTTTAATCATATTCACCTTTCTTATTTTCTGCTTTTAAGATCCTGGAGGACCTGGATGAGCAAATTTATTGCATCCACTTGCAAGAGGAAGCACTTCAAAGGCGATTAAATGGTTTGTCACCGTAAATGAGCTCACACTTTATGGGGGAATGACTACCTCGTTGGGTGTGATGGAACATTCTGCAAAGCAATTAATTGGCATTGACAAATTACTTTTTGGCCCACCTTTAGGGATCTTCGTGCTTTCTTGTGCTTCTGAATTTCATAATCTTTAAACTAACAGATTGCTCATCACTTATAACTTTTTTTTTCCTGTAGAAAAATAGTAATAAAATGGTAATAATAAAAAGTAGAATTAAAAGAATTATTACAATATCCATAATAAAAAAATCGGTGAAAGGTATATTAATTGGAGTTGTTTCCCTTGGTACAATAAGGGTCTGCATTTGGCACTTCTTAGAAGAGGCTGTGTCATAATTTCTGTAGAGTTGTTCTTTGCTATTGTAAAAATGTTCTCTGCAGTGATTTAGTTTCTGTTCTGGATTTGCTGGACTTCATGCCACATGAGATAACGTGGTTTGAGATAAAGCTAAATGCGTTTCAAATATAATTCTTGAAGTACGGCAAAGATAGAAACTGCGATAGAAACATCCCGGTTCCAGGCATCAACAGAAAGGACACCTTCGTAAATTAAGAATATTTGTTTAGCTTAGCGACTTGTATGCAAAACAATTTTGGACATTGTCAGGATGCTCATTATAAGAATGTAAATGTAGAGCTGCACTAAAGTAGACTGACAACTGAGTTAAAAGCTCGCATTTCTGAGTGCGTGTAATTGACTACCAGTTCCTGTTATCGCATCTGTCGGGGCCTTTCTTCAAGGGGAGCCCGATTCTGTCCAGTTGTGCACCGACACTGCGTCTAACTCGAACTGTGATGAGGCCTGTCTAAGAGAGATGCAGTACAGCACACACAATGGACTGAAAGGTTAGAAGCAAGAGGAGGCCTTTCTGGTGTTAAACGTTCATGTATGAAGTACATGTTTTGTCGGGAAGGAAAGGCAACCTTCATCTTGGATGCTTAGCGCTGCTGTTCTGCTAAGGCAAACCTCTTCTGCTCATGTGATTTACAGGTGCTTTGAATATCCTTAGATCTGGAATTTTCATCTGTTAAAGCTTGCTGATTAAGACCCTTCAGCTACATTACTGTCTTTTTTTTTTTTGAACGATGCTACCATTTGAAACAAGTCAGGTGATTTCCTTGAAACTAATGTCAAAAACCAAAATGAGAGCCTTGGCTTTTTTGATAATATACCGCTCTTTCAAGTTGTGTGAAAGGAAGCCTGAATGTATTGTTCTGATGATTTTTTTTTTGTATAGGATAGATATGCAGATAAATATTTTACCCAGTGGCAGCCTGATGTTCTATGAACTTGAATGCAGCTTGCAAAAGTGACAGAAAATCATATACTACGTTATAGCAGGGTTGTTGTATTCCCTGGTGAACAGTATCTCCTTTGCATCTTAAAATCAGTGTTGGAAGTATTTGGAGTGTGGCCAAATATACTTTAATATCAAGCCAAGCGAGCAACCCAAGTGCACAGCTGTGGGTAAATAAAGAGAGCAGATACGTAGGTAAACGAGATATGTACTTCTGATAGCCTTGCTATTTGTAGGCTACACCAGCTCTCTAAAGGAGTTTTCGATGGTAGGCTGGCATTTTATGCCACACAGCCTTTCTTTGAACACCTGATGAAATAATTATAATCTCTTCTTTATCAGTTAAGATGTTTGATCTGCGTAAGTCACTGTGATATAGTTTTTAATATGTTTAAAAACCAAAAAAAACATCACGGTACATATTTTTGACAATTCCTTGCCAAATGTTTTTCTAATTTTCAGCATGGCATGACAGAGACAGGTGAAAGCAGTACTCAGTAGATTGTTTTCCATCATCAGGAATTCCACAGATTTCTTTTGTCTTACTATATTTGCTATTAAAATGATCAAATTACTTTATAGAAGACATTTGTCATTTGTCCTTAGGCAAAGGTTTTTCCTTCATTTCTGGGAGATTTCATTATTAATCTTAAAATTTTAACCTTTCTAAATTTTTAGACTTTTTATGTCCAAATTTTTAGAGCTCGAGGAGGTTAGTAGAAAAAAGGAAAGGTGCTAGGTCATCAGAGGCCGTTTCAGTAATGCTCTTTAGAGTTTAAATCATGGAAAATTCAAAAATGGCAGTAGGGCATTTTCATTAAAATAGCTAATCTCGGTGACTTCCATTCTGAGTCAGTCATCTATCAATTCATTTAGCATCAATGCATCTTGACAGTGATCTGTAGACTTAAAAATAAATCATGAAGTCCGGAATAGATCAAAAGTGTGGATTACTTCGAGTTCGATTAGGGCACTTAGGGATGTGAGGTATGATTCTTCACTGTGAGTTGACCGGCTCATACAAATCACTTATGCTACATTTATGAACTGTCTTGGGCTCAGAGTTGTAAAATTTAGCAGCTTCAACTCCCAGTTATCCCGTAACACTTATACATGAATTCATATTTATTATTAAATGTTAAATAATCAAACAGAAATTGAGAGGATCTGGTGAGCAGAGTGCAAGTTAAACTCTTGGGTCCATCCGTCATGACTTTGAGCCTGAGTCAGATTGTTCGCTGGCCATGAACAGGTTACCCACCAAAGGGAGGGCTGGAATTGGTTGCCTGGGGGTTTTTCTTGGGTCCTTAGCAAACGGTGGGCAAAAACAATTGGCAATTCTACATTTGCCAGTGAGTATAAAATGAAAAATACCTAAAAAGTACTGGTAGGAAGTTGGTACATAGTATAAGGGGTTTCTTGGGGTTAGTGTGATTTTTAGCTTACAGACTTGACTGTGTCTGAGGACATTCATTGATCCATATATCCTGTATGAGACTTGTTGTACCAGACAACTGGCTGTTTGTTCGACTTCATAGTCATCAAGGGGCAGTACAGACTTCTTACTGTCAGTCGTGACTCATGGTGTAGTCTACAGCCTGGTTCAATAAGGAGGCCGTGTGGGCATTACAATTTGCAAGATCTGGTCTGTGAAACTGGCACATACATTGATAGATGCAACTCTCCCAGTGTTTGCCTTTTCCCAGAAAGAAGCATAGATGCCGGTTGAAAACTTATCAATTTCTTCACTGGGAGAATTTCTCTCTGCATTTTTGTCTTACGCTGCATGGGTTTCAAGAATTTCCCCAAATCTCTTGTGGGCCAGATGGTACTAGAACCATGGTAGAGAGGATTTTTTAAAAAACAGTATATTGGGTATCTGAGGTTTGACCAGTTTTATTGATTGTACAAAATGTAATGATGTGGCTGAAAATATTGCACCCTTCCGTTCTGGCAGCACTTTTGTGTTATTTTAATGGTAAGATAGGTAATGGTAGTTTTTAAGATAGTTTTGTGATGAAAAATTATGATTTTAGCTACTGTTCCATTCTGATACATTTTAGCTATGGCCACCAGATGTCCCTGTTTACTATGTGAAATTTGTATTGTAACAAACTAAATGTCCTATTTATTTTTATATGGACAACTGACTTTGTCCAAATAATTGTTTTTCTGTAGTGATAACTTGTTAGCATATTTCCACTTTTATGTTTATTTTTTCTCTGCTATATGTAATGTTTTTCAGTAGAAAAAAAATGAAAATATGCATACAATAAGTAATTGATGACGCTGGTTCCCTGCCTTATTCATGAAATTCAATCTTAAGGGTGAAGATAAATGTTTGCCTGTATTTTAACCATCTAAAATGGGTGTTCCGTCATAAATGAGAGAAGTACTATATATTAGGATGTGCAAATTCATGTATGTTTTTATTTTATCTACTAGATAACATTGAAATATGATATGCGAGTAGAACATACAGGTATCAAAACTGCTTTGTGTTGTTTTATGACTGAAACAGCTCTGCCAGGGCTTACAGTATGTGTTGACTTGGCTGCACCCCTTCTGAAAAGTGTTCCTCTTTATATGGGTGTCTAATAAAACCCGGTCTGGTGGGAATTACGCCAGCTCTCAAGGTGTAGTTGAAATAATATCTGAAGTATACTCTTCTAGGCACTTATTTTTACGAGTGACAGTCTCAAAATAAAAAAAATTACCAAAAATGAATCACAGCCATGACTTCCTAAGGACTCCCACCCAGAATTATAAAGGAGGGTAAAAGTGTTTACATAATTTGTCACATGTCGCAGAACTGACTTTATACTAGTTCTTGTAATTCAGCTTGAAAGCATGAAATGTAATGTTGTGCCTTTCAAATAACTGCTATGTAAAACTTGGGTTTCCTTTGATATGCTGAAACCTACTTTGAACAGAACTAACAGTGAAATATTCGCAGTTCTAATAATTTGATGAATATGCAGTATAAAGCTGGCAGAGAGAGAACTCTCAAAATGAAGGCAATAGGGCCTTTTTGCTCCTGGTATCCTTTTCTGAAATGAAGCCTTTTTCAGGTTTAGTTTGCTGACATTACATTTGCTGGAGCCTAGGTAACACTGAAGGCATGCCACCCAGGTAAAAGTAAGACGAATAAAGTCAGTAACCATCTAGAAAACCACATCACACTTAACAGAGCTCATGAGAACAGAATTCTAAAATGATGTAACACCACAAATAGTGTAACCTGAAAGGATTAGTTCATTTTGTCAGTGCCAAGTGACATCAATGCACAAACAATAAGATAAAACAAAGAGAAAAGCAATAAAACAAAATATTGTATTCAAGGCGGTGAGAAAGTGCTTTGAAATATTTGCAGTACAACCCTTGCTAAGTTACAGCGATCTCATCAGCTCCTGTGAGATGTAGTAAACAAAGAAAGATAATTCCACATCTTTAGATGGGCCTTATTTTGACTTAAAAACATGAGAGAATTAAAAGTTCTAAGGTCTTTACTTATCAAAAGTAGTATTAGACTACCTGCATAGTTTTGTGGTAAACAAAGGAATCTTTTAATAGCTTCAATATTTGGCAGACCATTTTTGTTATATAGGACAGATTGAAAACAAATAATGGCATTTCCTATTTCAGTTTGGCTGTGCATTGTTAGAGGGTTCCAATTTTCCTGTCAGAATTTTCTTTCAAGGTTGGGACATGTATGTTGGGAAGCGACTAATATGGATTTCTGTTAGTTTTGTTTTTTTCTTTCCTTTTTTAATTCCTTCTTAAATCCAAAGAGACAGGGTGGGGCAGAATAAAAAAAAATACTTATTTGATCAAAGTTATTGGTTCTTCACCTCTGTAACAAAGATGAAAGATCTTATTTTTATTGCACGCTAGTAACAGTGTAACACTGAACTAATTGGTCTTGATCTGCCAATCACCTGAGGGGATGCAGAGATACTCTTCCACTTCACTTTGAGGACTCAAACCATACGTCAAGGCTGGAAGAAAAACAGAGTAAAACAGATAAATTAACCTTAAATGAGCTGCTCTTGTGGTTTTCCTGGAGAATCCCTTTCTATTTTTTCCTGACTAGTCGCAGCATGTATGGTCTACCACAAGATTTGTGCACCAGACAGACTTGACACTGGAGATTTTCATTTTTTTCCCTTCCTGTTTGTTTGAAACCATTTTGTTATGCATTAACATCGGATTATCTGTTTGATGGGAATTTTGTGCAGAACATTCCATAGTTAAAACAAAAAGAATAAGAAATTAGATTTATTGTAATATTTAATCAGAACTGGTCAACATTAAAGATTTTTTTTTGTAAAACTCTCCGTTTTGCAAACCTTTTTCAGCTCTAAGATCTGAAATTGCAGTGTTAAGTCCTAGCGGATACATATTCCACAGCTGCTGCCGTTCTTCTGAAAGAGGAAAAGAAACCAGGGGCTTCAGAATTCATCATGTCACTGTCTTCGTTACAGCTGGCAGAACATTTTCTTGTCACCACACAGTAACAGCTCCCTATACCACGTATTTGTTCAGCTCTGGTTGACCCTCCAGTGCGACTCTCTGTCCCCATTTGCAGTGTGAATCTAGGTAGCTGGCAGCAAAGAAATCTGTTTATGTCTGTTTTGCGTCTGGTCTCCTTGAGAGTGAAGAAGAACGATGTCATGAGTAAAAATATATGTATAGTATGTGGCTCTTCCATATCTTTGCTAGAATTCCTTACTCTGCTTTATAAGGTGTTTTGTGTGGTATGTCCTTATAAAGACTAATTTCTATTTATTGAAATCTTCTCTGTTATAGGGATGTTATCTCATTCTCAATGTAGCACTCTTCATGTGGACAAGGAGTTGGACAATGTCAGGAGCCTGAAAAATAAACTAGGTAAGTTTTTTTTTTAACAGTAAAAATGTTAAGTATCTCTAAAAATATCAAATTTTTACCAATACAGTTAACATGAACTGTGAGCAAAGCATTGCAGCGCACTTTTTAATTTACTTTCTCCTGTTTTTAAATTTGGACATCTATCAAAACTTTTTTTTTCCCCCTCATTTCTTATTTGTCTAGCCTTCCAGAGATGTTAATAAAGCCAGGCTTTCCACGAGCTTTGGGAGTGCAGAGGCATTCCGAAGCACTTAGGATATTGGACAAGATGCAAACTTTATTGTCTAAAACCTTTTAGTGATGTCATTAATTAAACTGTACTGCAAATCTAGAATATGATTTGGCACTGGATACATACAGGAACCTAGGTACAGTACATTGGTAAGACACCAGAGCAAAATAGATTAGAGTGCTGCAGTTTCAATTTAAAAATGAGACCAAGTATAATCTGAATCATTGGCTACCATAGACTGTATATTCATGCAGTGTGTCTCATATCCTAATCATTAGAGCAGCTGATGGCATTTGTGTAATAAACATCTCTCTTAAAAGATTTAAAAGTTTATTTTTTTATTTTGTGTAATTTTCCAACTACTGTTCTATCCCAATGTAGAAGTGAATATGTATGAAACTGCTAAAAATGGGATAAATAGGTCCCACGTGCAGAAGTGTTATATGTGTAAAAGTCATAAGAAGCCTGATTTTATGAATGAATGACTTTCTGCTGATAATTATTAGGTCATTTATCCTGTTAAATTACAGTGTTTATTACCTGAGAAATCACTTCATTTTTTCTTGTACAAAATGTGCCCTTTTCTGTTCTGTTCTGTGGAATTTGAACTTTAAAAATGTTTTAAAGGAAGCAGGCCTTCTTTCAGTATGTTCAGCCCTCAGATGAAGTCCCAGTCAACCCCAGCAGGTTTGCCTATTGCTTTCAGTTTGGTCTTCACTTGGCAATTCAGAAATTCCAGTTAAAATGTAAATATTGCTCAGCATTTTATTGATTCCTGTATAATACAGGGAAGAAATGGTTGCTTTTTAAAAAAATATATATATTTAAACATCATTAAAGAGCATGAAATGGTCAATTTAAAATAGTTTGCATTTAAAGTTTCCACTTGTTTACATACTGAGAGTAGTATTCCTAAATTGCTCAATTGATTTATCATAGACTTGCCCTTGTTACAGATATTACATGCTCTTACATTACATAGTTTCATCACTTAATTACTTACTGGCTTGACACTTCCTTATGGTGTTTAGCAATACCCTTTTGGAGAAGGTAGAGGTAGCCATTGAAAGCAAATGAACTCCTGTTGTGTGGTGATATGCTATCATCTTTGCAGTGGTGTTCGATAGAAAGCTCAAAAAGCAAGTTAGAACGCACAGAAGAAAGTCACTACACAGACATGGCAGATATGTTGGGAATTTCTTGGAAGTATGGCAGAACGATTTTATTGTGAAGTACAAGTAGTCGGGCAGAACCAGCTAGACTTCCATAAAGTATTGCGTCATTTGTGATATCTGTAAGAACTTATATCGGCCCAGGACCTTCAGAATTAGTTGGTGGCTTATAAGAGATAAATAGATGTAAAACAGTGTGGGGTGAGAAAAAAAATCAGTGGTAGGGTGAACCTTTTAATATACTGTACATTAAAGCTTATACAGGTAAGGCTAATTAATACAGTCTAAAACAGGGGAGCTAGAATCTACATGGAGATAAAAGTAGAGAGCTTTATTTACAGTTACTTTAGTGTTTCAATGGCCTGCTTGGTTGTCTGAATCTGAAGTGTATGAAGCTGTACTACAGATTGAAGTGATGCTTAGTGGTTGAAAGGTCATTGGATATAGCTTCACATGCCAGCATGGCAAAGTTATAACTTACGCTGCCAAGTAAACAGCTGAACTTCTAAAGAAGAAAATGATCACAGCAGTACCGTACCATCCATCACAGACACTTGATGGGAATCGTTCTTGTTTTGGTAGATTAGAGGTTTTCTATGAAACCCACTAACATGAATGGGCTTAAAAGCTTTTTGCATGAAAGTCAGGGAAAACATTTTCACAGGACAGATGCCGACAGCTCATGTTGTGTTTGCAGGCTCTAATAAACCCCAAAGGATGATGTACTGAGCCCTAGCTTAGAGTGTGTGAATTGTTTTGTTCGGGACTTTATTAATGTCAGGTTTTGCAACTTGTGTTTATAAAAATACCAATTTTTAAATCTGTTTTGAGGCTTTTACTTTATGAGGTCTTCATTTACTCAATGTGCCTTATTTTGTTTCATTAATAAGACATTACGTTTGCCTATGTCTGTAATGAAATGAAAGAGAAATGCCATAAATACACTATATGAAGTCTGTATGAAAAATGGATATTGTCTATAATGAAAATGTCTAGGAAGTAGGCAGCGTCTGATTTGTCCCTAACGTGTGATCTGTTCCATTCTCACCTTCACAGATTAAAGAATCACTATAAACAACCATGGAGCTATCTATAAAACAATTCTGTTGTTATTCTTTTTTCTTCAACTCTGGGGAATTTATTTTTCTAGTTATACCTGTGATTGTCCTCTGAGAGCATTTAATCTCTTGGCTATGTTCAGCAAGGGCGTGTGGCACAAGAATCCAACATAAACTTTAAAGTGCATCGAAGCTTTAATTAAACTTATTTTACCTTGAAAACTGACAGACATGCTTTGTATCTCTTTCTGTAGAGAGGCGGAAAAAGGCTTCTGCATGGGAGAAGAACTTAGTGTACCCCATTGTCATGTTAATACTTCTGGCTGGAACAGTAAGGAATCACATTATCTTGCTTTGAAAATGAAGCGATCCGTTAATATTTATTACGGTCTTATAAATACTTTAAATCCAGTTTATATCAACGGTAACCCCACAGTTCAGAATCTGTCCCTCTGGTCTAGGTTATGCATTCAGTAATGGTAAAGAAAATAAAAGGAGGAATATTCTGCCACTGAGGGCAGTAATGGCTGCATTAAACTGTAATTAAAAGATAACCTTTGCTGTAAACATGTCCCTGCATACTTCTTTAGATTAGATTAAGGAGAACCAGAAACAACCGGAAACATTGTCTGTCACTCATACTGTATGCAGGGCCAGAAACTGAAAATGTTAAGATTCACTCACTTGCATTAATGTGTTGCACACACATTTTTGTTTGGGGAAAAATCAAGCACACTCTTGTCTATAAAGGTGTCATTAATTTGAATAAAAGTATTTTAAATTCAAAATGAGTTTTCTGTATGGTCATGTGCAATCAGCATTTCCTTTTACCTTTATAAGTCAATAGGCAAAATATAGTTCCTGAAAATAATTTCCAGTTGATTTACACATTGATTGAATGCTCTGTTCTGGTGAAACACATTCTTGCATTTTTCAATATTAATGGCCTTAAATATTGCTTCTTGTTTTGTTTGTGAAACAAACACCCTGAGGATAGCAACTGGAAAATACATTTGCAAACCGGAAAGGTTTTCATGCAACTTTTTCCCTACAGACAGTTTTAGCCCTACAATAGACTCCTGGAGAATTCACTCGAAAAGGCATTAAATACAACTTCAAGCATCCAGCGCATTTTTTCATTGTAATATCTGCAATGTTAACTCTGCAGAGACTGTAACTTTATTTTGCTTTTTTTATCTTCAGACAATCTCCGTTCTTCTTGTTGCATTTAATATCCTCTATTTGTTAGTGGATGAAACAGCAATGCCAAAGGGATCAAAGGTGAGTTAATAAAGAAATGCTGTCTTATTTTTCTTGATTTTTGTTCTACTTGTTTTTTTTGTTCTTCTATCGATATGGTCTACTGTTATCTTTTTTTATATGCTGGTGTTACTGACCAGCTACTTGTTCAGTGAACATACTTACTGAAAAGCTTGGTTTAGTAAAGAAAAACACCAGATATGCTCCGATGCATTCTGAACTGCTAGAGCTTGATTTTTATCAAGCTGTCATATCAGTTGCAGCGTGGTTTTCAAATGAAAACCATTTCACAGAACGCTGCAGATCAAAATGTTGTGCAGTTTCCAGTTGTTTTCTCGCAGCTAAGAAAACTGGATTTGCTGTTTTAAACAAACGAGTTTTTGGTGTCAATCAGAAAGTTTAGCACTAATGGTTGCTAGCCATTTTGTATTCTGGGTTTCGTCTGCACTTTTTCTTCCTTTGTTTTATAAGATATTGTGTACAGCTGAAACTTTTATGGGGCTTACATGAAAAGAATTTCATTTCAAAATCAGCTTGGTTCCACACAGTTTGGTCATTGTCCATAGTAGTGCTCAAGTTTGAGAGGTGTAACAGTTTTTCTTGTGGAAACTGATATTACAGCTACTGTGACTTCTTATTGGTTTTGCGTGCCATGCATTGTTGACATCTGTCCTGGGACTTATCCAACATCTGAGGTTCATGTGATCTTTTTTTAAAGGCAACAAAATAGGTCTTCTTTCTTTTTTTTTCCTTTTTTGTGGTAACTGCCCCCGACATTCCAATTATTTTATTTAACGTTATTTGTTTTGGCATGACGCATTGGAGAAAATCCCCCAAATTACACTTGTCATGAGTTATGTCAGTTTCTTGACAGCCGGGTTTCGTAAATGGTTTATACATTTGATGAGCTGGAGGCATTCCATTGCTCTGATCTCCTGTCATGTGTCTGAGATGTCCTCTTTAAAGCTAATCAATAGAGCTATCCATTTGATAACCATCTTAACCCGACATGTTCCAATGTTTTCTTAGTTGTTCATACACTGTCTACAATTTTTGAAAGCAGTGAAATCGAAGGTGAAAGTGATTCCTTTTTTTTCAGTGCTTCTTTTGTGCTCCGCAGAGAAAATAAATGCCACTTAACTCAAAATAAGCCCAAGTACCTGTGTGTCAGGGTTTGTACAGCTTTCCAAAAAAGAAAAAAATGTGAACAGATGGAAAGTGCGTGGGTGTGGTTGTAGTAGGCCTGTATGAAGAATAAGAATCCAATAAAGTAAGAGCAGTTCTATTATTATTATCAGATCTAGTAGTAGGATGGAGAATAGTCCTGCCACATTTAAAATGAGCAAGCTGAACGATAAATTTGTACATCTTTCTAAAGAATGGTTTGGCATGTTTTATAAATATTAATATTATGCAAAGGCACTTTGAGAAGCCACCTTTAAATGCGTTATATAAAATAGTTTATTATTATGAAACTGTCTATGTCAAGCCCTGCTTTATGTAGGCAGTTTTATAATATTGGCTATCACTGCGTGGTAGTCTGTGCCTACGTCTGTTGTTTTGTAACAATTTTATCATCTCTGTCAATTTTTCTCACTTTCATTTGTCAGGACCCTGAAGTGGCAATAATACCATTCAAATTAGCATCTTTGTCATTATCTATGTCAGCCCTTCATAACAGTTTAGGATTTCCACTTTAAGTCATCTAGAATTAATGTAAACCATTAGTAGGTTTCACATTTGATTGATCTTATTAAAAGAAAAGGTATCTGCTAGCTACAAAATGGGCTAAATGGTCCAAGTGGTTTCCTCTGGTTTGTAACATTTACGTCCTCATGACAAAAACTCCCTTTGTTAACAATCACAGCTGCACATACAGAAGGCACGTTGACATACAGCTTTAACAGTGTACCCAAAGGATTTGTTTTTCAGCATCTTAATGGCCCTAATTACCAAAATTACAAAAAAAAATTAAAATATTGAGACAATCAGCAATCCCTTGTCTTCTACGCCATTTAAATACTAAGGGATGAGCTTGGCGAGAGAGAGAGAGCAAAGAGTGCAACCAGCCAAAATATTCTAAATAATTATTTCTTATAACTGCATTATTGAATATTGCATTGCCAACAGGCATAGGAAGTGCAGTGCTACTGTAAGTATGGGTCATTGAATGCCTAGTGTAATAGTTTCACAGGATGTTATAATCTCATTGAATTGCATTTCTCCTGTCTATCACTAGTTAATGGGGGTGTTTCCAGTGTTTTATTTCCTTAATGTTGTCTAGGAAACCCTGGAATTGTGACCCCACCCCCCAACATATTTTGTGGTTCCACAGCTATGCTGAAGATGTAAAACAAAAAAACATGAATTTGTCATAAATATTAGATTTATTAGAAATTATAAGTATTAGATTATCATGGCCAGTGCAGTGGTTAGCATTGATGCCTCGCAGCACTGGGACCTGGAGTTCAATTCTAGACCTGAGGTGCTGTCTATGTGGAGTTTGTATATTCTCCCTGTGTTCGTATGGGTTTCCTTTGGGTGTTCAGGTTGCCTCCCACAGTCCGAAAATATACCAGTATGTTAGTTAGCTTGTTGGAACATTGTGGTGCGAGTGTGTGTCTCTGTCTGTATGCCCTGGATGGACTGGCATCCTGTCCAGGGTGCCCTGCCTCGCTCCCCTTGCTGGGATAGGCTTCGGCTCTCTCACAACGCTGAGTTGGATGAAATGGATTAGAAAATGAGAAAATGTTAGATGGATGGATTAGGATAACAAAGTTGAGAAGATACCTTTCAAAGCTTTGTTTTTGGGGATGGCAGAACTTTTCTTCATTTCCCTTTCTGGTCTGATTTTAAGGATTTGATTGATGCCTGAACCACCAATATTAAAATAGATTCAACAAGTCTTTGGCCTGCTATGACCAAATTACAGGAGTTGCTTTTAGCATGCTTCAGTGAAAGATTTAGGCTGACACATAAAATAGCTATTTCTTTTAAGATTTGTTTTAAGAAAGCATGGGCAGCCATAACATTACCATTACCTGTATATGATGAAATCACTTTCCTTTGCCAATTACCTGGTAAGTTGGAGAGCTGAAATATTCAAATGGTGGTAATAAGTGATCTTGTGTGCTAAGTCTCTTAATGCAGCAGCTTTCTAATTTAATTCCTAAGTAGCAGGAAGACGGCTACATAAAGACATGAAACAGCCTGTTGGAATTTTTCTTTTTTTTTCCCGCCTGAAACGAAATGAAATGCCAACTTTTTTTATGATGATGGACTTCTTAGTTTCGTGGAGGCAGTTCAAATAGAACTCTGCCGCATGTTGATTTTTGTGGATATCATGGATATTTCTGAATTTGCAGGTTTTAATGCACATTTCCCTGAAAATAAGTGAGATAATGGTGTAATATACACTGAAAAAAAGAGACAGTAAACCTAAGAAAGCAATACTTTCCACATAATACCACAAACTGTGATTTGAGGTTTTATTTATTTTTTGTTCATTAGAAGCTAAAATGAAACACCAGCAAATGCCCCAAAATCACTTTAGTTTTTGTAAATTTTGTCCTGAAATACAGTTTCTGTATGCATTGATGTTAAAGCATTTATTGATTTGATTCTGTCGTCCAAATGAGGCAGTTCCATGCTGTATTTGTGGAAGAAACACTTTAGTTTTCCTTTTACAATAAATATATACTTAATTGTTTGAGTTTTATATGTTTTCTGGAATGACATCAGATTGCATAAAATCCTCTACATTTTTGCTTGGCATTGCAGTGGTTAAGCCGTATGATTCTGTTGCAGACTGCAGTTGTGTTTATACCAAATAAAACATAAATAATATTTGGTTTCAATATCCTTATTTAAGTCAAATCACAAAGTGACTAGCCTAATTATCAGGGATCAATGTCTTTTATCCTTCAAACATTTTTACCCCTTGGTGTTATTTTGTGGTACTACAAATGTAAGTAATACTGGGATGGAAAAAATGGTATTAACAAACTTATCACCAGCTACTGCAACTCGTATATGCAGCAAATAAAAATGTTTTCACTTTTCAATTCACTTTTTGCAAATGCTATGCTTGCTGAGCTTTACAATCTGGAGAGCTTAGAAAAGGAATACAGAGATTCCTAAAATGCCATTAACTTAAAATAATTAGCTGTGGTATAAAAAGAGGGGGTACTTGTTTCTAGGTTTAGAAAGAAAAGTAGATGCGAGGTTGTGGGATCACAAACATTGTATGTTACAAGAGAGCACGATAAAGCCCAAAAGATTCAAATTTAGTCTTTTCACTCATTTGTTTTTTTTTTCAGGAACGGGGCATAGGAAGTGCATCCCTGTCTACATTTGGTTGTGTGGGAGCAGCACTTGAGATCATTCTGATGTTGTATCCTTCTCTTTCAATTCCACACTCCTGTCTGTTAACAGGTATTCTCCACAGATATTCTAGGACTTTGCATTTGAGCCGAGGAATGGTTTGTCCAGGCTCTTCCGGAAATGCTGTTTTGTTTTTGTTGCTCTTTGTCTTTTTTTGAGGAAGCCTAAAAGAAAGCTGAAAGCATAGACGAGGCCTTCACATTCCTCTTAGCCCTATAGAAGGTGTTTTGTTTTCCTTAATTCTCACAGCTATCTAATGGTGTCCTCAGTCGTCGGCTTCTATAGCCTGCGCTTCTTTGAAGGCCTCACTCCCAGGAAAGACGACACAACCATGACAACGGTAAGGTAGGCCCAAGGTGCTGATGTATTTGGGCCTCTTTAGCGTTCCTTTTCTTGCCCCTCCAGAAGAGCTCTCTTTCTTTCTTCAGTAATTGGCCTGAATGGCTCATTTGATCTAGCCAATATTTGTTTGTGAGCTGCGTCAACACAAACTGGAAGATTTTCGGAAAGCCTGAGGAGTGGGAAAAGGATGTGCTCCGTTTGGCTTGCATGGTGCCCATTCAATTGTAAATAACCTCTGGATGGTGAAGCTTGCTAACTAGCCATGACAGTCCAGTGAAAGGACTTGTCTACAAAGGAAAGAACCTGGTAATGAGCAACTTCAGAAGTACTAATTGCACAATCTGTGGAATCTATTTACGCTGAAGAGGTGTGTGTGTGTGTGTGAGTCTGTGTGCATGTGTTTGTGTGTGTTTGGTTAATTTTCTCACCCAAGGGAAGACCTACTAGAATGCAAAGATACTGTAAACTGAAAGAAACTGTAATGGATTTCCAAAAGCATTCAGAGTTTCCACCATGGTTATTAGGCATAAGAAATATTTTGTGGTCTTTCAGTCAAAACCTATAAATAGACATATTTACATTGAACATATAAAAGCATAGATTGTAACTGTGTACCTGTAGAATAATAGTAGAAATTAAGAATATTTAAAGATGGCACACATATTGTATGCTTAACCTGATACAGAGCAGTCCAAATATTATATTGCATTGTTTTATGAGACACATTTGAGGTTAAGCTAATCAACTCCATTTACTCATTTGATTATAACAATGGATAGCTCATATAATCTTAGCGGGGAAGAAAAAGCTGCCAAAAGTGGCAAAACCATAGAAATATTACTTCAATGTAAAGAGAGTAGCTGAAGACTGACAACATTATGGTGACATTTGTACGGAAAAGGACAGAAACAATTATTTAAGACTAAAGACCGTGAGGTTTGTATAAATGCTCATGGCCATATACAAAAACCTGGAATCTTAGAGCCTCAAATGGCACTTTAAAAAAAATATTGGTGTGAGCGATACAAACCAAATAAAGCAATGTTGAAAAGAGCTCTGTTACCAGTGAAAGTCAAGTAGGTGGGAGCCTAATGAATTGGGGTTGCAGCAGGTAGTGGTTTGACATTTCAGATGGAAGGAGAGATCAGTTCTGACAAATAGCAGTACACCTTTCCCCACCATTGAGTCATCAGCGTGGACTGGTCCAGTGTTTCAACAGGGTAATGAAACCCAAGCATTTTGGGAGGTTTGATTGGTCATCTTGAAGTCCGGGTTGGGACCCAATAGAATATTTAAGTTGAACCTAAAATAAGCTGTACAACGCAATGAATGTTAATTTTGTGAAGGTGTTGGGGGGGAGTGCACAGCACTGTGTATACATACAGTATATGTTTATGTGTGAAGTGTTAGCCAACTTGTGACCTAGCTGAGTTATCTATCAAGTTATCTTTCTTGGTGTGTTCAGGCTGAGATGTGAAATATGGTTTGTAGCTCGATTTGTACCAGATCTCTGAAGGTAAGCAAAGCTCAGAGACCTCAGAACAATATTTGCTGCTGCAAGTAGTGCAGGTGGGCCAGCAGGTGGCACTCCTCCCTCTAAACCAGCATTAGCAAACCAGCACCCCAGTTTGGTGTCCAACACCTTGCTGTTTGGAGGTGCCATCCTCCAAATCAGATGTTAAATCTGGGTCCTGACTACATGGTCATTGATGAATCCATGGCACTTCTTCACTTCAAATCCCCCAGTGGGCTTTCACATTGTCGTCAACATAATTACCCCTGAATTCCAACTGCTGAAGCCATTTCTCATTTCTCCACCTGATCTGCTGGTAGTGGGGCTGCTGGTGTCTAATGATCCACATCACTGTTGCTCGTCCAGGTTCCCTCCTGCTTTGGAATAAAATGTGCTATATATATATACAAGGAAGCATTAAATTATTAATGCCACATTAATTAATGTGGGGCAGAGCGCTGGCACTGTGGCTAAGGATCTGCACCTGTGGCTAGAAGGTTACCAGTTCAAATCCCGTGGCCGGCAGAGGAATCCTACTCTGTTGGGCCCCTGAGCAAGGCCCTTAACCCCAACGGTTCCAGGGGCGCCATGTAAATGGTCGACCCTGTGCTCTGACCCCAAGCTTCTCTCCCCGTCTGTGTGTCTCATGGAGAGCAAGTTGGGGTATGCGAAAAAGACAAATTCCTAAGGCATGAAATTGTATATGGCTAATAAAGTGATCTTAATCTCTTATTAACTATGCAGTATGCACCTGGATGCAGTTTAAGAGCGTTGTCTGAATGTGACTTTAACTGTTAAAAGGATTTTATTTTTGTTTCAACAGATCATCGGGTGTTGCGTGTCCATCCTGGTGCTTAGTTCTGCTCTTCCAGTGATGTCAAGAACACTGGGTAAGTTTTAGCCTTTGGGCTTGTTCTCCACAACATTCAAACAGAGCGACAAGGTGGCTGACTGCCTAAACCAGAATTTTTAAAGAAATAATAGAAATACTCGGGGGGGGAGCAAAAAAATAGACAAGACACCTCTGATCTAAACTATACAATAAATTAATACTTATGGACTGAAAAGGTTCAGTGGAAAAGGTTCATATTGACTTTCTTTTCTTCTGAAGGTCATGCTTGGAAAAGTGAAAGCTTTGCTCTATACAGTAAGCACAGAAGGTAATAAATTATGTATATAAAAAAAAACAATTTTATAATTTTAAAGTATAATATCACCAACAGGATTATCAAAATTTAGTGCTACATATTCCTATTGATTATTCAGATTAAGCTGTTGAAGTTGACATCTTGGTAGCTATTGTATCACATGGTCTAAAACACAGTCCTTGCAGCGAACATCTCGGCACTGCAGGTTCAGTTCTGCTGAGGACAGCTTTTGTTTTTAATTGCACAGACAGATATTCTCCTCAGTTGGGACTGTGGGAGAACTGCCGTCTCAGCCTTTCTTTGGTAGCTGTTGTTCGTGGCTCAGAGACTTGCCGCAGCAATCCGATTCATTCTGTGGACAAGACACAGATTGCAGTCTCACAGCACCACTGCAGACTTAACTCTTTGAATAGGTCTCCTCATGAAATCCAGAATCGATTAGATCCTACTCGGAAATGGTGTATGCACTGTAGTTCATTGTGTATGAAGGTCTAAGATGTAAGACAAGAATGTTGGGGCGAACCCTTTAAACTTGAGCGCGCGCACGCACACATATGTACACATTCTGTACAGTGTATTGTGGTTTGTATGAAAATAACAACCGGTTTGATAAATTTCATGATTAAGATGGAAAAAATAGTTTCAAACGTTAACATTACGGAATTAAAAAAATACTAATGTAGGTGAAAAATGAATGCAATCACATTTTAATTTTTGAAGACAAAAATTATTTCTTTTATAACCCTTTGATGAATTAGCCAAAACATTTTAAAATAACATGTTGATGTTATGAACACTGTATGATATCTTACTTTTCCCTGTGTTATGCTGATATTAGGGCTTATTGGACAGAAAGTAAATATTCAGATGTTATTTGTGATTTTTGTAATAGATTTAATGGTGTTTGATAAGTATTTTTCCATCCATGCAAGATTTCACGTCCTGTAGGTACTGCGTTAGACATTTGGAAAGTTTCTGTATACAAGGTCATATTTTCTGCACCAGGCATGGGTGTTTAAGCTTGTGTATTGTTTGGCGTATGATATAACATACAGACTGGTAAAATAAAAAGTAAAACAAATCTCAGTTAATCTTCTTTTCTCAGGATAGGTCCTGACCCAGTGTAGTGAGCCAAAGAGTTTTGAAAATTGAACTGAAGATCAAAGGATTTTGTGTTACACGTATGCAGATTTATGGGGAAACGAGTCTTTTAACACAGATTTGCAAGAGACGTGAAGTAGATGAGAGTAACAAGGAAATGATTTATATTAACAAGTTCAAAATTCCTTAATAGTGTAGTGCTGAGATTTGGAAAAGAATTACAAAAAAAAAGAAGAGATGGAACAATTAAAATGACATTAATAAACGCACAGACACAGCTGTCCAAACAGAATTAATCGTGTGTATTGGAGGAGTACAGTGAGTCATGGGGTGTTTTACAAAATATCAACATGTGCTGCTTTACAGGTTATGCCCAGTGGCACTGAATAGATGAAAAGAAATAAATGCGTTAAACAGATTTATAAAGCCTCTTCACTGTATGCAAAAAAGTCCGCTTGGGAGAAAAGAAGGGAAGCTGTGTTTTAAATGTGATGGGAAAGGTAAACTGCGGAATGTTAATGTTTAGCCTTTGCACAGAGAATTAACTTGTCACAGCATATACCGTGAATTCTTCATGCGAGTCAAAAGATTTGATATTAAAAGAAATCTAAACAAACGGTAAACGACTGTATCTTTCTGGAAGATTTTAGCAAATGTCAAAAGACTGTGTAAACAAATAATTATGTATTCTTAACAAAGTCTACAAAGTAATTTTGCACTTATTTCTGTATAGCGAGATGGCTGCTCTCTGACTATATTGTTGCTGGCAGTCCACTATCCATGACTTTATGCATTTCAGTGTTGACCTTATCTGGAATCATTTGGAACTGATTCTAAACTTGCATGAGTTCGCTTGCAGTTTTTGCACTCATTTTAACTCATTCCTTGGAACTGCTCTGCCTCCCTCCCTCCCAGTAGACAAAGTCTCGCAAATCTCCGTGACCTTTCCACTGACAAGTCTGAGGTTTGCTTTAGAGCAGCTGAGCGGCTCTTCCAATTCAAGTTCCCTCTCAGAATGTGTTCAGGCTAAAGCTCATAGATCGCTGGTTTCCATTTGTTCGCTGTCATTAGCCAACTGTGCCCTGGGACTTGTGTGCGCTCGCATGCAATTGGTCAGACAGCTTAATGTGTTTTAGGGGTGTCCTCACCTTACAGAAGCAAAAAGTGTTGCTAGCCTCTGGGTTTGCATTAAAATAATCCCACAATCCCTTTCCTTGGAGAGATTATACATATCAATTTGCTGGAAAACGCAAGGAATATGAGTTGGCTGGATCAGTGTTTCCTAACCCTGCTACCATGGAGCACTCCCAGGATTTTGTTTTCCGTAGATTCTGAAAATGTTTTCAGAAAAATGAAAAATATTTTCATTTTGCTTTAAGTAGATTGGTAACACGCAGCAAATAATCACATAATGATCTGCGTTCTCATTTTAAAGACACTTTGATATTCCACTTTTTTCCCCACTGTTGATTCTGAAGTTCACTGGGTTGATTTTGAGTGTCACATTCCTTTCTTCAAAATCAAAAGTAAAATGGAAACTAGAGTGTAGAAGTGGATACAATGTGAAAGTGGATTTAAAACTGAACAGGAAACATTTTCTTATACAAGTCATTGTGGGAGGCTGAAGTAAGCTTTCCCAGTCATGTCGATCATGCTGATAACCTGGTTTCTTTCAAGAAATAGTTGGATGAAATCCTTGGGTCATTTAGCTACTAATTATGAAATAGGCTAGTGAGCACACTGGCCTTTTCTCATTTGTTACAATTCATATAGTCCTTTCAGGAAATTATTTATGACAAGTATGACTTTGCTCTGTGCAGTGCCATTACAGTTACAGAGAGAGTCTCATTTTTAGACTTCTTAAGCAAGATGCATTATTAAATCTATATTTTATTTATAATTTGGGTTATTAATTATTAGCTGTTAATTGTAGGGCAATAAACAATACATGTATATCTAGTGGTTATAGTCTTATTTTTTCATCTTTCATTTATGGAGAGTATTGAATATTAAAGGCATGCATGGAATTTTTTAGATAGTAAATTTACAATTGCGTTCAATTATGAATCTAGGGTATGTATAATTTGGAACCAACTGTATGTTGTGAAAGCATGTAGAACCTCATTCTATGTTTAAATGTGGTTTGTTTCCTCAAATATGCTTTTAGCTGTGTCCAGCAACAACCTCTTTAAATCACAGCATTTTTACATCCTTATAAAAAGAGAAAACCGATATGAATTCATGCTGCCATTAGCTGAGATGAGATAAGGGCACAAGCATATTTCTGTAAACAGAAGCCTTACTTCAGTGAAAAAGACTGGGTGATTCTAAAGAGACTGCATTTTGAAAGCAATAAAAATGAATGGTCTCCTTATTATACATTTGGAGAGTGGACGTTTTGTTAAGGGGAAGTCTGAGCTTTCGAAAGTTTACCTCCATTGTCCTGAAACGGATTGTGTGATGTGTCTGAAGTCTGATTTTTTTTAGAAGATTGAATAAATGGTCACAAATTGTTTGACTGTGCTTTCAAGTGATTTTTTTTTTTACTTCTGAAAAGTAAATATGATATGAAGAGTACTCTTTTTACACAGCCACTCAAAAAAATTCTAAACCTTTTTCTTTGTGGCACATGCCAGCACTGTTTACCTTTTATCAGATCTCTTTAGATGTGGCTAATACTAATACATATATATAAAGTTTTTTTTTCCTTGTCTCGTTGTTTTCTTTTGAATTTCGATGACAGAAATTTATTTAAAACCATTAACCCACAGTAGAATTAATTATCATATCAATGCCAACACCTGGTGGAGCTCTTAAAAGAGACATCTGTAAGCAAAGCCAACTGTCGTCATTGTTGACACGAAGACCTTTTCAGAACTACGTGGAATGGAGTATGAAACTTACTTTGTCTTTGAAATTATGTCATTGCAACAGCAACCAAACAGTATTCACCCTTGTCTGCTTTTTTGTTTCCAGAAAAGATTGTTTTGCAGTGTCACCAAGACAATATAAAGACTTTCCTTTTAAAGTAGATGATTTTCCAAATCATCTTAAGTGCCAGTATTATGCCTTTTTTTTTACTTAGCTTGAAAAAATCTTTTTTGGAAAGGAGGTGTTTCCCTGTTTTAACTCTACTTAAAACACAGAAGGCCCCACTGAAAAATGTACTTAAGTCAACAAGTACTGATTAATTTTTAACCTACACCTTTAAAACTGCTCTATCACTGGGGCTCTTTTAATTTCAAGCTCCAGTAGCTTGAATGAATTTATCTGTATTCATTCCAAGACGGTGTTATGAGTGATGTCATATGATTTGCTTTCACAAACAATTTCTTATTTTTAATTAGAGCTGCATGTATTCCATTAAGTTCAAAACCATTCTATTGGAAATTAATTTTGCCTGTGTTACAGTAAGGATAGCCTATGCTATTGATTTTTTATTTTAATTTGCCCTGGGACAAGCAATTTTGCTAAATGCCTGTAACTGTAATTGTAACATTTTATAGCCATTGGAAGTTTAGATTTTTAAACAAACATCAATTAATCTGAGTAGTACTTGGAGGCATTGAAATGGCACTGTTGCTTAAATAAATTTAGCAATAGCTAAATTATTTTTAAGGGCTTTGAAATACATGGGATATGCTGGAAATATTTCTTCATCTAGCTGTTAAGATATAAACAGCTGCTCACACAGTCCAGCAGTTGTCTCCACTGGTGTTTCAAAAACCCATCCTTTAAGATTGGCTTAGTAATTAATGTGTATTAATTTGAGTGTGTGCATGAATTACAATTCTAATTCTATTACTATGCTGTGGTATTTAAACTGGTCAATAATTCTTGTCTACCATATATTGTAAAGATGGGAAGTTGACCAAAATCCACAATTTCTGTATAAGCATTCCTGTTTTCTTAATATGTTAAATTAACTGAATGTACAAAATATCTTTACAGTTCAGACAAATCATAGTTTGTTTTACTGATAGGATTTTGTGTGCAGGAGTTCAGTTTTGGAAGTATTAAATGCAAGAGGAGTTTCTACTTTGCACGTTGGACAGTCTCGACAGTAGAGAGGCAGCAGACCCTAGACAAAACCAGCATAAATAAATACAAAACATCAGGGTGTTGATAGCTCAGCAGGCAGCATATTATCCTCTGTGACAGATGGTTTTAAATTGAAGACCTACGCAGTCTAGTAAATTCCCAGCATGGAACTTGTAGAAGCTGTTCTGGTGAGAGAGTGACACTTTTTGAGTTGTATGAGAGATGTTTCGTGTTCTAGTTAGCAAAAGTACTGTTCTGGTATGTGATCTCTTTGGGAAAGGGTCTGCAAATTCTGTATACTGTGTAGCTAATAAATTTGAAAGCACTGTGCCACAAGCTTGGACTCCCATCAGACCATCGTCACTTCTGAAATCCATTTCATAATAGTCTTGTACGATTTTTGAAGTGCCTTAATGCCTATGTTAGAATAGTATAAAACCGCATCATCCAGGTAGTGCTACACATTGGTGGTGGTAGAGGACAGTTCCCAATACCTGTAAAGCAGTTGGAATATCCAGAAAAGTGCTATATAAGGGTAAGGACTTATCCTTACTCCTTTGTTAAAGTTGCTTGCGAGTTTGGATTTTGAAGAGCTGGATAATATAGCTGGTGCTTGTTTTCCCATCCTTTTCTGACTTTTTATACATCCAGTATATTCATTCTTTGGTGTCTAGACAACAGTGTACAAGCACGTAGTCAAGATTTCTAAGTCAAGAAGTTGTCCAAGAGTGGTATACTTAGTTTCTCAAGGTAACATCAAGATTTAAGTAACAATGTCTCCTAATGCACAGGCTTGTAATTCATGAGTTATTTTTCTGTTCATGGTGTCTCATTACTTTGATAGTAGTGATATAACTCGTGGAGCACCACAGACCATTGCTTATGTACTGCAACACAACATAGTGATTCTGGTAACTGGTTTGGAGCCGTAATGTTATCCTATATAATATACTATTATTATTCATTGTGCTAGTTAACTGTTAAACCAGAAACATTGCTGTATGTATTTTAAAGCAAAAGGTGAGGAAATAAGTTGAGAAAATCAGTCAGTGTTGCACGTGCCCGAGGGAACAATACTTCATGTAAGAGTTATGATTTTTCTTACCAGGAAAAAGAATATCTGGTTAGGAAATGGTCTTAGTAGTCTACTACTACCAACTAACTTTGTTCTCATAATAGATAGTAATAGTACGATGAATTTGAATGTAGAATTTCAGAATAAACTGGTTTCTTCTAAAAACAGCTGAACCGTGTATGATAAAACTAAAATAGTTTTTTTTAAGGCCAAGAACATTCATTGAAAGTACTTCAAATCCTTTAATTGAAAACTATTGGGGCTTTGCTGTTCAAGTGTTATCATGCAGCATTAAGCAGGAATTAAAAGCTATAGGATGTGCTCTGTATGAAGATGCAATGGCCCTTTTTATGATATTGTTATTCATAGTATCTGTGGTTCTGCCAGCTGAGGTTTAGGCCCAAATGTGATGTAGTTCCGACAGATTAAGTGTACACACACACACAAAGTTGAAGTAATCTTTTTTGTTGTTGATGTTGTCTGACCATGAAATAGAAAAAAAGGCTCTTTATTCATTCTGAATTCTTGTCCAGACTTTGTGGAGGAGTTAAGGCTTCTGCATTCAGAAAGAATGAATTGTCGTTGGCAGTTTTAAAGGAAACCAACGTGAGGAAAAGTAGTCACTAGAAGCAGTTTCATTGTAGCTCTAACCTGCAAGATTCTGCTTGCTGATTGTTTGAGTTTGAAATATGTCCTGTATTTGAATAGTTGACTCAGGTGTATTTAGAGGAAGGCGATCCCATTGAAGCTTGTGGTGTGTAAGGTGTGGTTAGTGATTTTTCCGAGTTTGCATACCAGATGCAGCCACTAGTAGAATTCCATTATGTTTGATTTTTTTTTCTTTGAAAACTATGATTAAGTGAAAAGAAATATGCCAAATGATACAAGGCTGCAGCTGAATTCTAACAATGTTGTGGTATTGTTTAAGTGACCTTGGTAAATAATGACTTATTAAATAGTAGTCAACACTTTTTTATCAAGACGAAAGGTCAGAGTTAATTTGTTCTTCCCACATGTATTTGTAGAAGGCAGGCAACTCCCTTGTGTTTTTCAGTTTTGTACATTCATCAAATTACTTTTTGTGTGTGTGTAAAAGACAACTTTTTTTTTCAGGCCTTTCTTTTAGATCGGCAACATTAGTGCTTGCTTAATGTACCCCCCCTTTACTTACTGAATGAAATGACGAGCTCAGTGGCATTTTTTTTCCCAAATCTTTCCCGTCACACAGACAGATGCCCTAATTAGCACATTTATCATGACTACCTCTGCTGAAAATGAATAGAATTTCAGCTGCAAAGGCTTTCAATTTAGTATTGGCATAAAAGAAAAGAAACAGCTGTATTTAAGCTGTTACCCTTGCACTGCTAAACACAACTGATACACCTTGCTCCCTATTTTGACTTGTCTGCATGGTCTCTGCCAGTATGGTTTAGCCATCCAGACTTGTTCTCATGTGCAAGTCTATCTATGAGTCCACTTCATGACTTTGGATTTATTTTGTTTGCTTACTGTTAACTAAAATGTTGGAAACGATGTTACCAAAAATATATTTCAAGTCATTATATTCTCCTTTGATTTTGACTTATTATATCATGTATATATTTGTGTGTATCATTATTATTATTACTTGTCTCATTTTATTAATTTTATAATATATCAGTGGCATTTCATAAGGAAGCTCTTGAGGAAGTGCGATAGGCAGCCTTGTAAACTTGTAAAGTTGCAGGGGGCATGTGGGTAGCCTTATAAATCAACCTGGAGTGACCACGCATTAAATATTACTTTCACTACTTACAGTTACAGATGTATTCCTTTTCGTTCTCAACCTAAATGAATGTCAGTGGGGAAAAAGGTGGGCTTGTCACTGTAACCGCCGGTTTGAGTTTTGTTCTCAACATGTTGCAGAGAAAGAGGCCGTGTTTTGTATGTTTTGTCTTTGCTTTGTGCTTCCCTTTGCTTCCTATCTTCCATTTGTTTTTTCTATGAACAGAACACCACCAGTGTTCACTCTAATTTTTAATTTTAATTGTACACCTGAAACTATTTTTTGTTAATAGTCATTCTCATAGGAGCATAGAGATCCAAAAGACCGGGACAGCGATTCAATGAGCCCAGTCATAGAGACTGAGTGTCGAGCGAGCATGAGCAGTGAAGTTGACACTACGAGAGCATAGAGATCAATTATCGAGTAGCAATAATAATGCACACAGCCACGTTGGGCCTCTCGCAGCCAGTCTCGTGGTCAATTTAGCGTTTGTTTTATTATCGTTTTTTCAATTTATTTTTTGGGGCGCAGTTGAACACCACCGTGAAGTTTAGGTTTAACACATCATGCAGGAATTCTATAGCCTGGCACCTCGCGTATCACACCCTTGTCTTTATTTTCCCAACTGAAACCACTGCTCAGTTCGGCATTTTAAGAAGTCTGTAGGTGCCCATTTCTAAAACAAAACCAACAACTGGTATTCATGCATATGTGTGAGGCATTTACATGGATCCCTGTTCCATACATTTTTAATGGACTTGCTGACCGTAAAAGTTGCACAAATCCGTGTGGCCAAAGTTTACATCCAGTACCTACAGCATCGCAACTTCACACGTCAAGTACTTGCCTAGCTCACAGCCAAGTTGTGAGGTTGACTGCAATGTCATCAGCCATCACTACACCCCATTCTTTAGAGACTGTCCTCATTAGAGAGCATCACTGTCAGTGATAACTATAGCTTCCTAATTATTAAGAGAATGAAGGTGTTAACCAATGCTGGTTGGTACAGATCAGAGCAGTTGTTTTGACTTCTAGTACAGATGAGAGTGCTTGTTTAGGTTTCTGCTTTTGTTCTCCACAGACTATAAACTTGCAGCTCCACAGTATAAAACAGTTGTAGCAGAGCAAGCTGACAGTTGTTAACTTACTCTTCATTCTGTTATGTATTTAAAAATGAAAAGTGTTGACGTAGTTTTTAGGTTATGCTGGTAAAGTTTAAAAAATCCCCTTTTAACTGAAAAGGTTAAAAGCAATGCCCTTAATATACCGTCAGCATAAAAACATTCACATACTTGATTGTATTTTCAAAGCTAAAGATTATCTGGTACTCCAGAAAATACGCTTTGTCAAAGTAACAATTTATGTTTTCCTTTGTCACTGATAATTGTAATCTTTTTCATTTTGTTTTCAACAGGGATAACAAGGTTTGATCTTCTGGGAGATTTTGGGAGGTTTAATTGGCTGGGAAACTTCTACATTGTCCTGTCATACAACCTGCTGTTTGCTGTGGTGACGACTCTGTGTCTGGTCAGAAAGTTCACCTCGGCAGTTCGTGAAGAGCTTCTTAAAGCTTTAGGTAACATCCTGCAACAGAGGACAGCACTGTGCACTGTGTTTTGGTTGAGGTCGTTGCACAGACTGACCTTTTTGTTAAATGTTAAAATACAAGGTGCTTTTTCCCCAAGTGACTGTGTAGTTAACATAAATTCCTTCCATTACAATAGTATAGCTTCATAAGCAGTTATGTACATTTCAAGAACTCAGACTGCATTGTGGAGAAAACAGATACTTTTGTATCTTGTGGGAGTGTTTTCTCTGTGAAAACATATAAAAATTGAACTTTTTTTCCTCACTCAATAGTGCAAAAAGTATTTTTAGAAAGTAGAGAATGTCACTGTCTCCTATAATTAGGAAGTACTTTTCATAGTAGAATTGTTTAATTTGAAAATCATTGCCTCAAAAGAGGACCCAGTTTTTTAGAAGTGATAAATAACATGATTTTGATTAGGATAGGATAGTCATAAGATGGATATTATGGGTTAAGTCCAGGTATTTGGTGTATGGATGAAAGTTCAGACACTGTAGGAAAGCAAAGTGTTAACTTGTGTCAGGCTCAAAGAACAAAAAGTGTTGAAAAAGAATAAAGTTGTGCTGAGACTAATACAATTAGACATATGTGGCAGTAAAATAATAATAAAAAAGCCTTAAAGCTTGTTCTAACAAGTTCAGGCTGTCTGATGTAACAAGACTGTCTGACAGCCGTAGATGAAGGGAAGAATATTTTTGCTTGGCTGAAAAGGTAAATGTAGGTTTGCTTCTATTTAATTTTTTTCTCAATCTTTCCTCACCCAGGCTTAGATAAATTACACCTTTCAAACAGCACCAGGGACCCAGAGACGGCCAAGCATTCTGCAAATGGGCATCAGAAATCACTGTGAAGAAGAGATACACCGGTAATAAACCGCGCCTGAAAAGAAAGCTTCTGCCTCACGACATTCCATAATTCCCTTCGCAGGCTGATGAATGTCAGGGAATTGAGATGAGGCCTGAGCCAGTGTGCCATTGATTTGCCATTGTGTGATGACAAATCAAGTTCCTACGTGGCATTAACCCTTTGCAGACTGCCTGATTTTAAAAAGAAGGACAAAAATTACAGTAGATTTATTTTATAAATACATCAGAGCAATTCAGAACCACCTTCATTTGAAATATCAGGCTCAAGACGGCTCGGGTGACTTCGTTTATGGGTTGTAAATCCAATACGAGTAATACCACTCGGTCAGCTTCAGCTTATCATCTACCACCAACTCACTGGGCTTCTTATTTCAACTTTTTTCTTTTCATAAAACCAGATTTCTGTTGTTTGGGATTGCCTTGTGTTTTTGACCACTTGTTTTTTGTTTAATTTGTGTATGTTATTTTTGGACTTTGGAAGGCCTTTTAATAGCAGTGTTATTACCTATATATTTCTCCTACAGTTTTTTTTTTAATTAGTTGCAATGCAGGGGTCTGCATCTAACCCTGTAGTCCTGCTGGAGAAAATGCCTGACATGAATGAATATAGTGACAAAGCAGATTTCAACTTGGCCACGCATCTGGGTGTTGTCTACACATTCATGGTCCATGAAAATTGGGAGAATAATTTACAGTCTGGTATATAAAATTAATTTTGGTAATCTGAATTAGTGGTAGTGTGTATGGCTTCTGGCAGACCAATACCCAGGCACTATATCAGGAATTTTTTGTATGAAGGGATTTAGGATTTATAACATACTTGATCAACTGTGGTCCTTGAGGACAGCATTCCACTAGGTTTAGTTAATACAGGGAACTCGGGTTTACCTGGTCAGATTAAGTTCTGAATGAGTTATATTACATATTTTTGAAAGAAAGACTGACATTTGTCTGTGTTATCTTTGAGAACTGGAGATTTTTTTTTAAGAGTAAAATGCTGTCCTCTTGTTCTGCAGAAAATGTAATTATTCTTGACTTCCAATCCTAACGCCTTGCAGTGGTCTGAAAAAAAAAATGGAACGAAGGACTTGCAGCTTTTTTTAGTTCATCTGTGACTGCTCAGAGCAGCTTATGAAAACTACTAGGTTACACGATGGGCACGACCTTTCTTAGAAAACGTCGCTGTATATCTGCTGTACTTAAACTGTTGATAGTGGACAGTTAACACCTATATCGGGGGGAAAAAACAAACAGTAATAGTGATATTTGGTATTTGGATGAAATCGCTTTAGTTTCTCGGTGGTTTTCACATCATATTTATCAGCTCTAAAATGAAACTGTGAATGCTCTCCGCTTGCACACTTTAGGAAGAGCACGTATATTATCATTTTCTCTGCAGAAAAAAACCCCAACCAGAATAGCATGCTCGGCCAGGCTGAGAGTCTTCCTGATGGCGACGTGTAGGAGACAGTCCATTTTATAGATTAAAGCCAGAGTGCCGTGCAAAAGTCAGTGCAGCAGGCGTGCACCTGCTCTAGGGAATAAGAGCGCTAATGACAGATTCAGTCTGAAAATTGATGATGTTGCTCTGGCATCAGACAAGCTATTCTAAGTAGAGCGGTGGTTGGCAAAGCTGTACTACTGATTAATGCCTTGGAGTCCAAATCAGGTGACTTGAAAAGCTGCTTGTTGGTTGAAGGGGACTTTTCTGCTTAGAAAGTATTGTTCTGGCGGTGGGGCGGCATATACTATCAGAGGTGCATTGTTGCAGATTTTTTTTCATTTCATTTCAACATTCTCTCCTGATCAAGACCGTGTAACCTGAGCTTTTCATATCCGCTTCAGTTTTTTAAACGGGAAGCAAATCCAATGTGAATCTGTAGTGTGAAATCATAAGACATTATTGTGATTTCATTATGAAGCTTATTTTTTCCTGAAATCAAAGGGAAAAGGAGGCTTGAGCTGTCAAGATCCAGATGATTACCTCACAGAATCAATGGGCGGTAAATGGTATCATCTCTGTACAATACCTTCCTGGGGAAGGAGGTTGGGATCTTTCCTTAAAAAAGGAAATGAATGGGTTTCTTAGACTTTAATGGCCATGCTGCAGAATAGGGGCACATTTTCCTGAAGAACAACTGATACGAGTACTACATCTGTTCACCGTTTATTTCACTGATTTTTGAATTTTTCAAGTGCTTTCATAGTTTGGAATGTGGTCGTGTTCCGATTGAAAAGTACTCAAGGTCAATAGGTGTGCACCTTTAATGTGCTATTGAGAGCTCGGCCATGCAAACTTCATTGGAGCCTCGGTGCTGTTCATTCTCTCAGCTGCATCAAACGCAGCATTGCGGAGGGATCTGTAACTCGTCTCGCCACACGTCTCTGAGAGTCACAGGCCACAAATAGCCCGCAGCAACTAATTTTCTCATTAATTAATCAATAAAGCTCCCCCACCACCACTGACGTAGAATTCTTTCATTTTTCCGTATATCACTAAGAAAAAAACACTTTCCAGTTTAATTTGAGGTTGTTTGAGTCATCATAATAGGTATTCAAAGACTCCGGGTGGTTTGTGCAGATTGTGAAAGTAATATTTGAACTTTGGGGGGGTGATTTTATCCCCTGTAGTTCATACACTTACCAGCCACGGTGTAAAAAGAAACCCTCCAGAAAATGTAGATTGTGACTAAATTCATCTTAGTTTTTATCTCAATTAGGTGTAAAACCTTTCAGGCAAAGGGATGCCTGCTCTTATATAGCTCATATAACTGATATAGAAAGCTGAAGCCTCTCGGCTAAAAACATAGAACCTGAGAAAGTTTAAAATGTTGTGACACTGTAATGTTCTCAAATGTGATTAAAAAAGAAAATGTATAGAATACATTCAGTGCGTTCTTTACTTAGAATGTTTTTTATCCTCTGCTGAACTGTATATTTTCTGCATTTGAAAGATTTCTTGTTTTTTTTAATTGGCACAGCATTGAAGTTGTTACAAAGGGACGATCACCTTCTGGCTTTAAAAGGGGTTGTTTTGACGTGTCTTTCCACGATGATGTACATTTGTCTTCCCCAATTTTACTAACTGGAAATATATTAGACGATAGAATCTCTTGATCCATCAGTGGACAGCTTCCAGATTTTGCCCCATCTCTGGAAACAGACAGACAGAGAAAGAGCAGTTGCCCCTGTATCATCAAAATTGTAATTCGCTTGTATTGAAATCTAGTTATTCCCATTTCAATCTAAAAAGAAATGTACAGACTTTTCATTAGTTTCTTTTTTGCCCTTTTAACTCTTTGTTAGAGTATACATTTTTTCATTTAAATGGAAAGGTTTAGGCCCATCAGATTCCAGAAACGGTGCTTGACGATGAGCTCCTTCTGGCAAGCAGAAAGCAGCCGTCAAGCTGCAGTGCCGGAATGTTCCAGTGACAGGTTGTTCAAAGTTTTAATTTAATCCAGGCCTGTGCCTGGTGACAAATGTGTTGCTGCATCTTTTTCAGACACTGTTCATTCATACTGAAATCTTTGTTCCCATTTTCTTTAGACGTGCCAGTGATGGAACAATTCAATTTGGGAAAACTTTTATCGGAATACAAGATATACCTCTTAGAGGGGTTTGAAGCTTTGACTCTGTAATGTGGTTTCTGTGTCCCTCCAACATAAGAGTTCTTATATTAGAGGGGCATAAGTTCTTAGTAGTGTTTCTCTTGGGTGAAACTAGAAACAGGCCCCTCTGAATGCTTAGAAATATTCATGATATTGTACATAACATATTTTGTCTGTGTAGATAATACTTAGTCTGTCTGATCTTTTTTTGTTGTTTTTGTTCTTTTTGCTTTGTGCAGATTGTCTGCACTGGGCTATTGCGTTCAGTTTATGAAGTATTCTCATTGTAGTTAAGACAATAGGTTTCTCTGTTGCAGCACTGTTCTTTTTGTATTTCACCTCTGTTTGCCTTATGAGGAGGAGGACACAAACAATCTTGTTTGTTCTAAAGTTTCCTATCGTCCTGTGGGGATGTGTGTGTGTGTGTGTGTGTCTGTCTGTCTGGAGTGTGTGATTTCGTTTGTGCACTTGTGCATTTTTGTGCACACTTTTTTTCACTGTGAAAGCTTTTGTCTCCAATTAACAGCAACATTGGTAATGGGCTCCCTCAGAAAATTATCTAAGGTGTTTAAGAAGGTTTGGGTGAAGCATTTTAAGGGCAAAAGGTACAGTAAGGCATTTGAATAAGTTGGATAAAGAGAAGCTTTGAGAATAATTCTTGGGACAGACCTGGATGTTAGACAGGTGAAACACATACAGTAGAAACCTTCTTGGAATTTCTTAAACAACAATGCAAAAGAAATTGCAAGTTTGGAGAAAATACTGAAAAATATGTGTTAACATAATAAGGCAGTAAAACTTTTATGACAAGCTCTTGGTGTTTTCTCTATTTGTGTAGTAAAACCTAGGTTATGCCCTAGACATCTTAACATACTTTAAAACACAATCATCAACTGCATGGATTACATTGTTTTAGTCATCAAAGTCTTACAAGAGCAACAACATGCAAGGAATGAGATGTTTATTACTCATATCCTAATTTTTACTGCTTTGACTGGATTTGCCCACTCCTTAAAATAAAAGCTTCATCAGTCGGCAAAGCTGCCGACAGTGGTAGCAGCTCAATATGTTTTTACGCAAGGAGAGGCAGCAAGTGTTCATCATTCTGGATTCAAAGTTTTTTTTTATCCTTTGTTTGGACTTTTTCAAAAATAAGTTATGCGCTGTCTGCTATATTGCGTTTGTCAGTTATGCATACTTTAATATAAAGACCTCCATTGAAAATTCTGAACTCAGCCATGTGGGATCACCCATGATTTTTTTTTCAATGGTTGCACTAGAAGTCGTGACAATGTTCTTTGCTTAAATTCTAAAATTATCGCTAAATTTGGGTCATCCAGACTAAAATGTAATTGATTTCAGAAGAATTCTATCCTTTTTGAAAAAAGAAATTTGAGTAATGAAATTGCTTGTAATAAGGTATTTAAAAACGATTCAGTTAATACTGACCCTTTGTACAGACTAGAATTGTATAACACACATGATTTGGGTCGTTGTACTGTGCAGTATTTTATATTGGAGTGTGCATACCGTGGAAAAGTTGAATTGTGTTAGCAACATGCTCTGTGATTCATTACAATTTATACATTTAGTGACTGTTGATGATGTTAAAAATAACCAAAATTCAGGTCTTGTAAGCAGTTTTTTTCCCCCCGTTTACACTTCATACACATAATGTTAATTGAAGCTTTTTATTTTAAGGAAGTCCCATGAACTCTCTTTGAAGTTCTTTATGGAGGTAGGGGGATTGCAGAAGAGGTCAAAATTCAGTCCTGTATGATGTCAAACGGTAGAGTTCAAGAGTCATTGATTTGCAGAATTTCCATAATTATACTGGTTACCATTTGAAAATTTAATATAAGCATACGACATAAAAGGTGTTTTGTGCTATGTGTAGATTTATTAGTATTTGGTAAAACAATTAGTGCCATGCCGTTTCATATTTTATGTGTGCAGTACACATTTAATACAGTGAAGTTTGTGGATATAATCAATTTTGGCTTCTAAAGTTGCCAAATCCCAAACTTTACAAACTAGTTATTTGGCTAAGATACTGTGAAAAATAAGATTGACAAAAACTGATTCCATTCCATTACAAGAACATCCCTAGGTATTTATTAACTGTTCCTGCAACTTTAGCACTTTCAATCTTAAGAGTGAAGCTAAACCTGTATAGAAATAACATGTAAGAAAACCTTTCATATCAGGATTCATATCAGATTCAAAGTTCCACATACAATGAAGAATATATTAAGCAGTATTTATACGTCTTTTATTTTTAACAAGTGGTTTCACAGAATTTTCATAGGAGTCTGAGGATCTAAGGATGTATACAATAATAACAAAACAACAAGACAAAATATTTCTGTTAATGAAGATCACATAGTAAATGGACAATTTTGACCATTGTCATTCATTTTTCCCCATTTAGGTAATGAAAAACAGGGTGCATTTCATAATGAACAGTTTTGGTTGCCTTACAGTATTGTCAATACAATTGAATTTAGATGTCAAGGAACAGCCTGTTTACAAAGCAGCTGTTGATGTTTGTTCCTGCATGTTACATGTGCAAAGTATGTGAATGTAATTTTTATAATATTCATTTCTTAGTTGCTATGTTTTTTTATTTTATTTTGGCTAATTTGTGAATACATGTATTAGTTTACTTTGTGTATTTTTCAGTTTACAATAAAGTTGCTGAATTGTGAACGTTTTTTTTATCGCTTTGTTATAATACTTATAAATTCTGACTTTAAGGAAGTTAAAAACTGCAGAAGGTTGTCTCCTTCCATTTTAATAGTATTTTAATTGTACAACTGCTCTAGTTACAACACAATTCAGTTAACATTGGAAGAACTTCTTGACAATTCCTGACATTTCATTGAATTAAGAACACGCCTTTTTTTGTGAACAAAGTGAAACTAACTGCATATTAAACAAAGTTAAATCCAGTTCACTTAATTTCCAAAACCTTCAATTCAAATACCATTTCCAGATGGTTGCAATGCTATTTTGAATAAAACTCTAAAAACTGTAATAGTAAAATACAAAGACAACATTCCAATGAATTTAATTTAGCCCAAAAATGATTACAATGATCAATTTTTGTAATACTCAGCAATGAATTTTTGTATATATTTAAAAACAAGCTTTAACAGAATATTTATTGAAAAGCACAGTATAGTGCGATTCTATTTTTATATTTACATCTCCTTCTGCTAGAGAACTTGTACTAAAACACCAACAGTTCTATTAAGTTATGAATCCAGTTGCTTCTATAAAAATGTGTACACTTCTTCCTTGGTCTGCATTCTTGAGTAGTTGTAATCTCCAGAACAGTGGGTACTGTTTTAGAATCGCACATCATTTGGATTCTATCAAAAGCACACTCTGACCTTAAGGACCATCTCTTACATCTGCAATTTGTGCTAATTAGGAATGGTCCACTTCAGGGCCCCCCCATATCCTCTCTGCACAGAAAGAGACAGGAGATTTATAGGTCTGTCAATATCTCTTGAGGGGGACTGTTTACTGTGTAGCTGAATGTTCCCACAGTGGTGAGCCTGGAGACACAGCTATGGAAACCTGAAGAGGCTGGCATCTCACAAAAGTCAAAATGAATGTGAAAGGAAAAGCTGTTACCAGTCACAAGAATGTGTCTTGGCATAATCTGTTTGGTAAGAGTGATCATTGGAGAGCTTAGAAAAAAGCTACCCCCGGTGCTAGACCAAGCTGAAGACACTTTATATCAGAGAAAGAAATGCTCGTCATTGTTCTAATGTGGATTGAAATGTTCTTAATAGCAACATTTTATAATATACAGACACATTTAACACAAATCTTTTATCTTTGTCAGTAATTTTTAAACTCGCAACATTGCAGTCAGCTGGTTTCGGCATTAATTCTTGTAATTTCTTGGGATATAAAGCTGCTTTAGAGAACATATTTAAAATTTGCTAAATAATTTGCTTATTTTCTACCAAATTTGAAAAAAAAAATGTTTTTAATACAAGATAAACATGGCTGCTTTTGTTCTCCACTCAACCCCGTTGATTTAACGATTTATTTCAATGACAAATTCTATGACACCTAAAAATGTTTTTGTTTGAAATAAAATTAACGGTCTTAGAATATTGTTTTGGAGAATCCAATTTATAAATGAGGATCCTAGAAAAAGAGTACGATTTTAAATCACTCCGATTTTGTTTTCTTTTCAGGTTAGCTATTCCGTTACGTTTGAGGACACAAATTACACCACACTGTGAACGTAGACTTTTTTTAAAATCCAAAAGCATTAACAGACCTGGGACCTTCGTGATGTGACTGTATTCACAGCTTGCTTTTGAAAAACGCTCAAATTAAATCTCATACCTGGGATCACACTCTCATCGTATTTGGACAACTTCTATATATGTACTGTACGCAGTGGTTTGAAAGTAGCTTCAGAGTACTCTTTTCTGATATGCTGATCTGCACAAAGGACATACAGTTCTTTCTTCCACAGAGAAATCTTCAAAAGCCTTGAGACAACTGAAGTGGAAGAGGTGGGAGCAGGATAGGAGCACAGCTCGTCTTAAAGAAAGCCTCTTCTCTCCGTCACTAGATGTGCATGGCTGTGTGGTGCCGATGTGGCAAAACAGTGGAGTGATGCAGATTGGGCAATCGTGGGAGTCTCGCTGGACAGCCTGGAACACACAGAAGGGATTTTGGTTTTTGTATTACTGCAAAACTGCAGGGATGAACACTAGGGTAACACTAGGTCTTGGTCTGGGCTTTTTCCATATGTGATGGGGGGGACAAATATGACATGAACATAATTTTCATTTCAAATATATAGTGGTATATAACAACATAGAACAAGTGAAACAATTTCCTTAAATGCAAGCATGTTAGTGCTGAAAAAGCCTTTCAACATCAACTACCTTGGTACCAGTGTGTTTTTCATTGTCTATGAATTGGCTTTCGTTTTCTTCATGGTTATCGATTTTGGAAATAAAGTTGAATGATTAATGAGTTTCAAAGGATAAATGTATACAATGATGTACTAATACTAAGTCTGCCAAATAAAAAAAATACACGCTGTATGCTCTATATCAGCATATTTTTACTTGCATTGCCTGAGAAAGTTTCTAAAAACGTACTTTTGCTGTTGCTAAAACCTTTGAGTCCCAAAACAATGCTTGCACAAAAAAAGGAGCAGGGCAGACACATTTATTTCTGTGATCATTTCATGGGTCAGTGACAGTTTTGTCACCTGTGAATTAATTTTAACTACTTAAAATTAAAATAAATACTATCCTGACAGATATTGTATAATTGTATATACTTTTCAAACAAATGTTATTGTGAAAAAATACTGAAAAGTGTATTTTGTTTTTGGTAAATACTGTGAGGTAATTGGTTACAAATAATACCTCTGAGACCAGTTTCTTTAATTTGAATACTGGTGGACTTGCTTGATACCTAAATGTTTGCTAATGAGGCTTGTAACTTTATGGTGTTTACCTTAATCCTGAACTGTCTTTAGTAAACACCTAGGCCTACACAGGCTTGTGTAACTCTTGCCCTGGACGTGACCTTTTCAAGTAAGATAACCAAAGGAATTGTTCTTCCTGTGTGGGTTGATGCAATTGGATGGGGCTAAAAGACCAACTAGTTTATAACAATGAGCAATAAATGCTACAGCTTCCTCTACTTTCTTGGGAACAGTACATCATATGAAAGGCTTGGCATGCAGTTGGACAGCGGTCTGCATTAGTACACATAAAGGATTTTTTCTCCTTTAAAGAATGACTTTCAAAAAGCTTTAGAAGGCTGTGATTATTTCAATAAGGATTAATATTCACGATACTGTTCTGTACGGCACATTTGTTGGTTTCTATGACAAGCTTTGACAGGTTTTTTGAATACCAAGGTTATACAGTAAATTCAAACAGGATTAAACAAAAAAAATCTTCAAATACTATCTTCTAAGAGCTCTTTGGATGAGATTCAGTGTTACACAAGTTCAAATGTGAAAAAGATGTACCTTTGCTTGTATTTTTTCCCATTCCTCTTCAGCCATTGCTGAACCAAACTGGTTGTCAAATTGATGAAATACACATCTGGTCGAGGCCAATGAATTGTCAATTTCAGTGAGGAACCTGTCAACTTTGGTATCACAGGATCTGACCACTCTGTCATTCATCTCCTGCAGCTTAATTTGGAAACATATATTTTTTAAAAGATTAGAACAAATGGGTGCCAGTTAAGCCTACAGCAGCCTCAAAGTTCTGAATAATATTACAAATAATTGCAAGTGGTATATACAGTATCCTCAGAAGACAGAAGAGAACAAATATCTAGGAAGGAATTTATGTTTAAATTATTAAAGCTTATATTACAATCTAAGCATACTGTACACAAATTATTTTGAAAACCCCGAAAGTATAATTTGCACTTTAGCAATGAATATGCTCATCAGAAAAAAGGAATGTATTATCGTTCACAACAACTGTCAATCATGCTAGGTTTACTAATAAGAATGTCTGTTCAAAGATCAGATTAATATTAAATGACATCACAGGTGTGGTTTGCATCACTGGCAGTTCACAGCTTTTGCCGTTTTGCTTTATGTCATTGGCCACCTTTAATTTGAAGCAAACACAGAAATGCTGCCCTAATGTGAGGGACCACATACATGTATGACCTATGTATGAGGCTCACACTTGTTCAGGCATCAGTGACATCAGAAGTGGTTTTAGAACTGAATTTTATCACTGATTACACAATGGTGAACAATTAAAATTAGGAATACCACAGACTTCTACCTAAATGACTTGTCCAAACAAATGTGCCCAGGTGCACTTTGTCTATCTTACAGGAGGCCTTTCAAAGCAATCCATCTTGGTGTCAGCAAATTGCTTACTAATGTGTTGACTTATGGTAGGACCTTAAAAGTAAAATGAAAAGCTTGGTATTTACTGCATATCAAGGAATCAGTTGATAAGCTTTTACTGGTTTAATATCCTCTGAATGCTGCTGCTTGGTGCCACTGCAAGTTAGCAACAGAATGATAGAATGTTTGCCATCTCTGTGTGATAAAGGAAGCCACAGACTAAGCAAACCTTAGGGCCATTATTTTGTTTGGTGAGATCTAAATTAAAATTGCTGGAGGAGGCATGTGGAAATAGCCACAGTCAACCAAATCATGTTTTGCAAATGAGTCCAGTTTCCTCCTTAAAGAACTGTCAATACGACTAGCCCTGTGTAGGCTAACCGTGATGTGACTGAGTGGAGTTAATGGCCGCAGTAAATGACTGCACTTCTATTATGTGACAACATTTATAGATAAGGATCAAAGCAATATAGAAATGTACTTGAAAAGACACTTCACCTCAAGCACATGATATTGGCATAACAAGCTTTAAATGCCATATTTGGACTGATCTGAATTGAGGAAACCCAGATTAATGGGAAAGGACTACTGTACTATCAACAATCCATTCAAACACTTCAGATGTGGCAGACAATCTCATTTTCTACTGGTGCTTAAGGTCACTAAGGCATTATGAACATTATTCAAGTTAAACACTCTGATCTTCAAATAAAATACAGAAAAATACTACTAACGATCTCCCTATAATGTTATGTTTTTCATTCCTTGACTTAGATGGATTTAGAAACTTAGTTGTAAAGAACAAGGATATGCATCCTTTAAATGTACTTGCTAATAAATGTTGGCAAAAAAGAACCACCTATTTAGTCCAAAATCAAATCAAAATGTCATCTCTTCTGATATCTGTGTAAAATCTTATGGATGGTTTACCCCTTCCAAGTGAAGCCTTGCCTTGTCTTCGGATGCAAGCAGTTCATAATTGGAGACATTGATGATGAGCCTAATCACAGTAAATAAAAGCTGGATCCTGTTAGAAGGGATATTGCTATTTCACTAGAGGGCAATCTGCTCTTTTAACCCCAAAGTACACCATCATATTGGCCATAGTGTCAAGGCATTTAATTGCACAGGTGCTCTTGACATTTTGATGAGCTGTTCCAGAAAGTTTCTTTCTGTTGGCACAGTGAAAATAATGGTCCTGGAATAGAATTCAAGATAAGCCAGTGGAATCAATCATAGCCACATGCTCAGGAAAACTAGGCTGCCTGAATTTGACCAGAAAGACAGAATGTACATGGTCAAATAACCAATCCAATTCAACTAACAGTGTTTCCAGTGGCCTTTTGCCATCATAACATGTATTTGCTTTCACACCTTCAATGTGTTGAATAAATATTGGGGTATATCTTTTTAAAACTTTAAAACACAACACGGAAAAGTTAAAAAGTTACACAAGGTATTCTTTTTGCATTCCTTTTGTAAAATCTTCTCAGCGTGTTTATTAATAAAAAAGTCTTTTGTAGAAACATTTAACTGATTTTCCAGTTTGTCCTGATCTGCAGCCTTTTTACATGAGGCTCAATAAACACTCAGTGGTAGACTATCTGTGTTTTGACTGGAATGTATAAGTTACTTGACTAGAACACACATTTCTTAATTAGTTTACCAACAGTTTATGGTTCACACGGCATCAAAGCCCTGTGGAGCAATGATTGTCTTGCTCCTGTTTAGAGTTCACTGTTGCTGACATCTAAGGGCCTCTATAGTTTCTACTGTCAATCAAATTAAACTCAGCGAGGATAAAGTGTTCCATTAAAACCTCGAGGAGCACAATCGCACAATAACCTTTAGGACAAAACATTAGTTTCTCCAGTGTAAATGCTCTGTGTGGCTGAGAAAAGCAGAACTAAATTTAAACAAGAAAGAAAAGCTAAAAACAGAGGCTTATCAGTCTGACTAACAAATATATACAGTATATAAACAATCTTTGTTATTGTTATTTTTCATCTATTCCAGTATTCCTCAAAGGCATTTCCCTTTGCTTTTTAAACCCCTGATATCATTTTATGGCTAATTGTAGATTATAGTAAAGAGCATCTTTTGTATAGCCTCTTTCACCGTACACAATTTCTACATTATTTAATTTTACCAGGCACTAAAATTCAAATTATTATATGACAGAACCTGAAAAAAATAAGATTCGTTACAATATACAGATTGAACAAAGCTGTCATTTGTGTTTTGAAGACATATCTTAATAAGACAGAAATTTCACAAAAAAGGGGGAAAATTACCTTAAACCATTTCTAAATAAAATCTACTAATGACCAAAGAGTCAAGGCATGTGTCTCACTGTCCTGAGTTGCGGTTCTGCTTGAGCAGTGAATGACTTACTGGCCTTTTATCCTCATGAAACTTTGGAATGTACATTCCCAGATAATGTACACTCACAGATAAAAGGATGCTGAAAGCTTATAACACCTGAAGGAACTGACAAAGGAGCCAAGGACAAGCATGGGACTAGCCAGCTAATGTTCTAAGCTATCAGCTGCAGTAAGAAGCCTAAAAGGATAGAGAGGGAATAGTTTGAGTGAGATAGTACAGATGTAAAATAAAGTGTATCCGTAATTATCTTACACTGGAAAGGGTATTCTCTGAGGTTTTATCTTCTCACTGTATCATATCTGTCCGATGCCAACACTCGACAACTCTGCAATGTCTCTTGTTAGTTTATTTTATTGATTGTTCTTTTCCTTCTTTCACTGCTTGGACTCATATTATTGGTGTGTTTGTCTTAGTCAAGTCAGTACTGTAAATGTATTCTCAATGGCTTTATCTGGATAAAGATTATAAGGGAAACTGAAATACAAATATCAGGGTACACTTTTGAGTTTTGAAAGAGTTTTCAAAACTGCTAAATATACCATACCTTTTCTTCAAAGAATTTTCTCCTTAACACCATGTCTTTTGGAGGGATAGTTTTCCTTAAGTGTCTGTACCACTTATGAACAATATATCCCCGCCAACATGCTTGAATTCTAATAGTAAGAGAAAAATACATTACTACATTAAAGATATTTCCAAACATTTTGAAAGAACATAATAAATGTTTTTCATTGGTGAGATAAATATTGAAAATATTGACGTGCTTATCTATTTGCAATATATATTTAATAGGTTTTCCACACATGTATTGAAGCCTTGTCTTATATTGCTGCATTGCATTATGTCAGTTTCTAGATGACGTGACACTCTGTTCCTTTACAGAAGTAGTACATTTGATATTCTTATTCCACCGTAGCTCTTTTTAACTTATTGAATCAATTAGTGACTTAACTATGATCCTAATAACTGCTGTTTCTCCTGTTTAATCACTGATTAGTTTACGTTTCCTATAACTCCTAGTGAAATTAGTGCACCAGAATCAAGAGAGTACTACTATAGTAGAATCATCACAGAGTCCTGCTATATTAAGGAAGCTTGACACAGATAAAAAATGAAGTCTATGTGACACAATAACAACAAAAGGAGTCGACACAAGCAGCTATATCTGCTATCTTGGTATTGTGCATTATGCGGGTCTGACATAGGCACACATGCAGAAAGCTAATATCCATATCACTTAATATTATGGAAAAACCTGAATAGAGGATAGTGTAACATGCCCTACACATCAGACGTGAGCCCCCCAGAAAATCTGTGGGCAATTTGTGGTAACTAAGGCTCAGAAACCAGGTATATACTTGTCCAGGATCTGGAGTGGAGTGGAGTGACTGGGAAATTGTGATTAAAATTTGTTACATTTGTAACAACACAGTCAACACATTGTGACATCATCATAAATGGTGCAATTTATTAACAGTAACATCTTCGGTATGTTTCTATATTAAAGAGTTGTAATTCTGGGGCAGAACAAGAAAACTTTTGCATAGATGTTTTATTATATAGAAACATCTTCAGTAGGTTTATATACCATGCAAAACATACAACTCCAAAAGTTTTCTAGTCCTGCCTCAGAATTGAAACAAAACCTACTGGGAGAAAATATTTTCTGGAAGCCTCTGTTAGTTGGGGCTACAATACAAACATCTACAAACAGATCCACATCCATGTTCATGTAAGATAAAATTAATTAATTCCTCACATCTAGCACTGGAATTCTGGATCTCCAGGTATACAGGTATGAATGAACTGTGCAAATAATACAATCATATAATTTAAGGATCCCAACTACATGGATCCATACCTGTTTATCCAACACTGCTAATATACACATAGGCTATCATAGCAATGCACCATCAAAGTTCTGGCAAATTTAAGAGGAATAAGGCATTCTATAAATATGTAATTACCTGGTGGCGCACTTCATTCTATAGAGACGAGCCCCATCATGAATGACTCTTGTCTCGTACTGCTCTTTCCTACACATGGGACAGCTTTTCCTCCCTGAAAACCTCTCAAATGCCTGTAAGCAAACCTATGACCAAAAAATAAACTTTTTTAACAATTTGAAAACATTTTAACAAACGGACATAACTGTCTGACTTTATGTCAGTTAATTCTATTGTGTGCGGACCCCCAACTTGGCGCTGTGAAACTTACCCTGTGAAAAACATGGGAACAAGACAGCAAAACCTATAACAACAGACATTGAATCAGCATTAAAAGCACTCCTTTGCTATTTCAGAAATGTGTTTTATTTCAATGAGTTTTGCCTATTAATGGTACTATTATGACCAAAGTTATTGTGGACTGTGACAGTCCGTTGATGACCAATGAACAAGGTGGAACTTGGGAAAGACATCAGATGTTTTTTATCTACCTTGAGAGTAACTATTTTATTTTCTGCATATGACAAGCTAGAGACGGTACAGCTGGTCCAGAAAAGAAGAATAAATAAGAAAAGATAGCTACTGTGATTTCCCACTTTTTAGAGTGACCAAATCCTCCATTACCAAGGACAAAGGGCACCCCACTGTGCACAATCTATACCTAGAACCTAGACAAGTCATTAGTCTGAAGTGGATTCCATTCTGTCCAGCGCAAGTCAGGAATTAAAATTAGAATGGCTGCCAGTGATAAACTACTAAATTACAGAAAAAAGGTCAATACTTTGTTAATGTACTTACTGTTAATATATATATAGCAATACAGAGTGAGATTTACCAAGAAGTAGTCAGTATACAACAGTCAGAAGAATTATTCAGAAAACATTACAATGAAAAAATCTGATTATTTCTCTAAGCAAAAGGTATTCATTTACCACATTATTCATATGATAGGGCACAGGCTTCAACCATTCTATTTTGGTTTGATGTTATTTACAAAAACAAAAGACAGCATTAACACCTGTTTCAGGGTGACTTATGAGAGTTACTTGATATACAGTACTGTAAAACTAAGAAAATAGGCCTTATATGGCAACAAATTCAATTTACTTAAATGAACTGTATCTCATATGTTTATTATTCCTGCAATCTTAGAATCTGAATTATGTTTACACTGTACATAATGCTTCCTAAAATTAAATATATAGCGTCTTTGAAGTCTGAATTGCAGATGGAGCTTTTTTGTCTTTTTCCTTCAGAGTTGGTTTTAATATAGTTCTCTACCCTACACGGGTTGGAATTTTGGGACACTTCTTTCAGCGTGGTCTTTTTCTCATGGGGAAAAAAAAAACATATTACCTGTAGATGAGAAAGATCTAAAAATTGAATTACCCAGTCAGAGCATTAAATTCATTAATATATTTTGTCAAAACAGAGACATACAGTATGACTGACTCAACACTAACTGTTTGATATTGTTTCTTGGTTCATATCCCCCATACATTATTTTAAACCAATTCAATATTTATTGTCTTTAAACCACCGCAGGGACACTTGGGAACTAGTTTGTCTCTCCTTTAAGAAATTAATTCAGAAATTCTCAGAAACCTCTGAGTAGTTGCACAACTGATGACAGATTGATTATACCTGTGACTGGAGCCTGAATTCTTCTTTGCATATTACACATGGCTGGTCAGATTCACCTTGGTGAACAGACCTCTCCTTTGCCTTGCTCCACTCATCAGCGGTCAGTGGCACTGGTGGAGCTTCAACCAAACCAAGTCTTTGGGCTGAAAAAAAAGGACTCTATCAATACACACATCTAAGAAGTGGAGTGCAGGTTGAGTCTGTGGGTTACTCACTGACTGTGGCACAGGCACTGCCTTGTCTCTGGACTGCTATATAAAAGTGACCCCTTGCCAGACACCTGTCAGCTGGTGGTTTTCTTTCTGTGAGTTGTGTCAGTTGTCTGTCTGCTAGTGTGAAGATGTGATTTGAAGGGTCATTAATAAACAACAATTAATAAAACAAGTTCATTAATAATTGCAAATTCCAAACCATGTCTATGTATAAAAAGAAGAATACTCTACAGTTCAAAACTAAAAAAATAAATACACAAATTCATTAACATTCGAACACCTATAACCAATTTAGGTTCTCACCTGTTTCTATTTCAAAATCTGATCCCAAACAAGTTCCAGTAATTCAGAGACAAAAGTTGCCATTTATTTCATGGACACATTCAGTTTCTTAATATTGTATGGCCTTTTCCTGCTTTCAAGAACAGTAGTTATAATTCATCTTTGGGCAACATTACTCCCTGGTTTATTTTTAATGGCACCCCTTCAGAAGTCCAAGAAAGAGTGATGTTTATTACATTTCTAAATTAAGAACTCAATCCACGGGAGAATAGTAGAGAGAGAAGAATAGTGTATACAAAATGGATTGCCAAAGTCTAGCTAGACAGCTCACGGATATTCATGCTCATTACTCATTGCGACTGCATGCTGTTAAAACATATACCCTAACCTGGCAGGGTGTTCCTTCCGATACCTACCTGAGCTAGCAGCTATGACTTTGGATGAAAAAGATTCTACATTGTCACGTGGTTTCTGGTTATTGTATCTAATCTGTATTATGTAAGAGGCTGGTGGGCGACTGGTAGTACTTTCTGTCTGGTGATACATTGTGTGGGTGTGGGGAGGGGGAATGTTGATAAGCTGCATTGTTCAAGGTGATTATTGAATTTAATGGAAATAAATCTAGTCTTTTAAAATTGTATCTTTCTTTTAAATATGCCTTAACATTTATTTAAACATACATGCATAAACATACATATTTAAATATAAATTGAAATGAGTTATTATAGCACTATTACCAATGCTTCTTACCCAATGTCATAGTTGGAGGACTGGGATCTAGTACATACTCTTTCTCCTCGATTCTCTCACACTTTTGGAGTTTTCTGTGTTTTAACCCAGTATTCACGAAAGGTTTTACACTACAGTTTTTCACTGTGTTCTTGGATCTCTTCTTCTCGGGACCCAGCAATGATAAATTCTGAAGCTGTAAATTCCTCGCTATATGGTCTTGCAAAGCTACAGCTGCAGCAGTTACTCTACCGCTGTTTAACTTAAAATCAGCAACCTATGGAAAAAAAGAACTAATGTCAGAATTCATACAGTATAGATACTGCATCTTGTTATATACTATTCATTCATACTATTTACTATTTCTTCTATGTGGTGAGCTGTGTCAGTTGACAGCAGAGAATCTGTTGTAACGTAAGTGTAATGTACTGCCTCAATAAAGGACATTTGTGACATTGAAAAACATTGAAATGATAATGAAAAAAATAATTGCATCAGATAACTGCTAACAAACTCGTTTAAACAATGGTTTATTATAAACCCCTGTATAAATGCCTTCAGCTAAAAGTAGGCTTGTGTTCCATCAAAGAAAAACAGGTGCAAAATTAACACTTTGATTCTTTATGATCAGGACATAATATATTTTCCAAGCAATTTGATACTTATAAGTTATTTTTTTGTCTTGTCTAGTCTATATTACATTTTGTTGCAGCAGCTGTGTATCCTAAGGCATTGCACACCGTTTCACCATTAAAAACATGAGTTACAGTATATTGAAACAAAGCATCAGTTGTTCTATTCTAATGTCTGAATCTAATCTTATATCCATATACAGAACAATTTTAGATTTCATACCTTTCCCTTGGTAAGCTTGGAGTGTAATGGTTTACTGCCCATTCTGTAAATATATAATCATTCAAAGAGCCTCCTGGAGATAAACAAAATACAACAAATATATTTCAGTGAAGAAGGCACTAAAAATACTAATTATTTCTCAAGGAATGCTGTTCCAAAAGGGTTCAAAGACATTAAATGTTGAATACCCTACCTTTACTTCACAGACCAACACAATATTTATTTTCAGTTCCAGGTATTTTAAAATGTTTGTTGCCCTGCTTTCTTTAGAAATATCTAAAGAGCGAGAAACCTTCTCTTCCCAGAGAAGGGTTTCTGTCCTCTATATGGAAATGACATTGCAGAGGGCTCACAATTAGCCCTGCCAGTGCTTATCCAGTAACTCTGGTTCAGCTCTGGAAGTTAACTGGGATCTGGTATCCCCAGACTGTGGTGAGCAGCTGGACAAAAACAGAGAACTGGGTGAGAGAATCTCAAACTAGAGAATCTTTGCCCAGTTGCTTAGGAGGAACTGGCCAGCTTCAGAATTGTCAGTAACAGGAGAATCACTCCTGTGTACAGTGCAGTTTGAGGAACAAGTGCACAGATTGCTTTTCCCAAGCTAGAATAGGAGCCACAAAAGTGAAGTTGACCTACAGTACATAATAGCTATCAATTCTAAAGTAATGGGATACAAAACAATACTTGCCACTTCCACATCCTTTTGAAAACATTGCGACATACAGTATGCTATAGTACATTGGCAAAGTCAAGCAAAACCATAAAACTGTCCACCCTTATAGATATATGAATGTTAAAATCGTTTGATAATACTGGAAATCCTTGGGCATCCTTTTCCCCTTTTAAGATATAATTAAGGAGTCTTGTTTATGCGTTTGTCCACGTAAGAATATTTGATTATTTTTTTTATGCTGACACCACCAATAATTTCAAAATATTGTGACTGCAAGCACAAACACAGAAAGTGTTCAGTATATACACCCCAATATGCAAGTGTCAAGAAATCAATTTTTGTACCTATGTATACATAAGTAGAATAGTCACCATCTTTCAGAAATTGTTAAAAGTAGGCCTACATATGACATTATTCTTTCTGTTTTGTGCCAATAAAAGCATCCACAAGAGAAACATTATCTGAAGTTTATTTGTTCTTTGAGAAGTAACAGCCCAGGAACCTTGTAAGCTACTTCCCTTCATTGGGATCTTAGTAATAGCTGTGCTTTGAAAACACTCACACACTGTGACTGTTGAATGGGGGATGCCCATATGAGGTCATTTTAACAGGGAAATCCTTTCTAGTCTTGCCCACATACAGTAACTCATGTCATACTGAACCTGCTTCTAGCTGTTAACCAATTCAACCGAGAGCCTAGGAAAAGAATCCCTTGTTACTGTTGATGGACTGGGTTAGAGAAGTGAGTGGGTGTAATTGCTATCAAGCTGTGGGGTCCAAGGCCTACTAGTCTGTCTTAAAGGGCTCTCTGAATGGACTTGTTACATTGCTAATCAAAGCCAGGCATTCCATTTGGACTCTTGACCAGCATGAATCTCTTTCAAGCTTTCACAGCACAGTTTTCATTCATCGCTCTTCCATTATCACTCACCTTAATGACCGCAGTTGGGTTCTACTTTCCATTACACCAAGCTGCCCCAACACAATTACCTAAAAAATAGATATTATCCACACAGAGAACATGACAGAATTTATTAGATGAGTCATTTGAATATTTTGTAATGCGGGTATTTTATGTAAAACTGCATAAGATTTGCATTACTTGTTTATTGTTATTGTAATGACTCCTGGCCATTTTTTTTACTTTTGTTATTTAAACACGGGGTATAGTTTGTCAGTTACAGTAGGTCATTTAGTTTCCAATGATATTTTCAGTTTGAGGCTATGAAAAAAAACATTTTGTTACATTGCTTGGCACTTTGTGTAAAAATGCAAAGTTCTGTGGTGATCTTTGGTGTGTTTGTGGAAAGTATTTTTTATTAATAATTTATAGAATCCTGACTGAATATATTCACTTATATTATTTTTAGTATTAAACCTTCAGACATTTATAACTTTTAAATTCAATAAGGAATACACTTCCGAAGAACTCCAAATTTATCCAGACATGCTTTCAGAGAGCAAAATCCATATAACCTCAGACAGTACAAGATGCTGCACTCTGACTGTCTTGACAGGCTGGTACTGTCAAGAGCAAAGAAGGACCGATCAAACTATTCAACTGCATAAAGAAGCTAAAAAATAAATCACAGCATTTTGTGCCCTGATTTCTTCACATCTCCTGAGTCAGTATTGGGATGCAGTATTGGTGATGATGCTAAAGCACTCTTACTACACGTGGTCTTCAAACTTTTCACGGCACTTTGCGAAAGAGTAGGGGTGTTAACCCTGGTGTCCTGACTCAAGTCCACTCCTGGCTGACTACATTTTCCATTTCATTCAATTAGTGTATCGTTTGTCTCTTCTCCATCGGATCTGATGCATGTGGGGAAGAATGACTGTTGCCTGTCATCAAGATGAGTGCCGTATTTCAGGAGTGGATCAAGTGGGTTGCCTCCTACAGTACAGGATATGTAAAGTACTTTGGGAAACCATGGGATGAAAAATGCTAAGTGGGGACCATGGGATAAGTTTAAACCATTCTTCATATTATTACACTATGCTTGTCCAACCAAAAAATCATTGAAATAATATTATGTTTTTGTGGTACTAGGAATAATTGGTTGTTATTAGCTTGCAATACCGGTATTTCAGCCCTCACTTTTCCTCACTCTCTTGAGGCATAGGAGCCAGAAAAAGTCATTAATTTGTAAAAGTCCAATGCCATCATGATCTGTCTTGAAATGGACGAGATACCATACCCCTGAAAAGGGGTTTAAACAAGTGCAGCAAGATTCAGAGTGTTGTAAGATGATCCTGTTAGGGATATAACCCCCTAGGACACCCAGTGGCACTGAATTCTCGTGGCAGTAGGATGGCATTTTGGAGTACAGAATTCGTTGCTACTGGAAGAATCTATGTGGTTATATGCTGTAATCATTTAGAGATACCTTTAAATGTCTAATGACATCCTTAGAGTATGTACAGGTATGTTTAATTTTTCAATTCGAGCTTTATTATCCTCTGGGGGAAATGTGTTTTATGGAACAGTTCAATCCAACAAGGAAAACGCACATTACCATGGTACCATGAAAGATGGTGTTGCAGGAGGTAACAGAGTTACTTTACATTGTTTGACAGAGATATTGCAGCAGGGATACATAAATAATAAACAATAAAAAGGGAAAAGACGAAAGAAAACAACTAAATAAGAAGAAAATAACAAGAAAACAAGCATTGACAAAGACAAAGATGTGCTGATTTTAAGATATATTAAAATGTCTTTTAGATATCTGAGGCATCTCTTAATCACTCAGTCATATATAAAGTCCCCTTTTTTCATTTTTGGATATCATTTAAAGGTATCCATAGATATTATGTACGGTTCATTTAAAGAGTTTGAAAACAACATCGTGTCTTTATTTGTACCTAACAGCAAAGAACAGGAAGGAAGACAAGTTAAAATGAAGATTCAGGAAAGCTTAAAATGAACACTGCAGAATACTGAGGTCTCTTATAAACACTTATAGTAATTTTTCTAATTGATTTACAAATGCAGCACTTCAAAATCAGTTGTAGATATCTTTTAAAACAATACATAATTACACGTTTTAAAATATATCCAAAATGCATTGAAAGTTTTCTGGAAATGATAAAGATCATTTTAAAATACCTTAGAGGCTTTGAGTGCATAAGTTAACCTTAAATATGTAATATGACGACAGTTTTTATAGAGAATTATATTTTCAATTTATGGTCTTCGTCATTGGATCAAATGAAGTATTGACCTACCTTAATGCCACAGAAAGTTTTTATTCAAACGCACTATTATGGACTTGACTATAGGAGAACCTTCAAGTTTTATAGCACCAAAAACATTTATTTCGCTAAGTCACGTTAAGAAACGTACATGAAATACATACTGTAAACACCTTACACTCATCATAAACATCTTTAATATATTTTCTGCAATTTAATTTACTAATGCCTCTTCTTTAAACTAAACTGCTAGTGTGGCAAACACCGTAAAATGAAGCTGCTACTCTGTTAATATAATCTTCTAATATTCATGATGATTACTGTTGTTTTTATTTTTTTTCTACATAATCACGATACTTGATTTATTAAAACGCGATACAGCTGTGTAAAAGTTCTTGCAGTTGATCTAATTACTGTACACTGTCTTCTGTAAATAGAAACACCGTTAAAACATCGACATGCACTGAAGTGCCTGTAATTCAGCATATCATACCGATAAAAAGTTGGTGTAAATCCACGTATCATTAGTCAGGTTATCAGGTCAGTACTCATTAATTTATATACACCTGTAAGCGTGGCACCATTAGAGTAGACTTTAAGAAAATAAGGCTGTTTTAAGTAGTTCGCAGCGTATGTGCTATAATACTATTACGCAATAAAACGAACTGGTTTTCTGAGTTTGCGTTAAATGCTAAAGTGCAAACGTACACTATTAAAGTGAAAAACGGACAAACCTCTATGGCGATCCGGAGAGGGAAGTGTTTGCATCGTTGCTAAGCAACTAAGTTCCTCTAGAATTCCCCACCCCCATCCCAGCCTCCCAGCTCTCGTCTAGGACGATTCTAAAAGCTACTCAGGGCGCAAATTGTGACACTGACTTAATTATAGAAAGATGATGATGATGATGATAATGATTGTTGTTGTTGTTGTTGCAGGAACAACAATAATAGATTTGGAATTAATAACAAATGTGTTTGTCATATAAGTCTTCTGAAACGGATACAATACATTTTCTACACTCACCAGGGATGAGACAAGAGATCTGAAGGCCTTTCATTATGAAATCCATTCTAGTCACAATGTCATGTTTTAAAGATAGAAATTAACTGGTTTCCTCTTAAACCTGAACAAGTTTGATAGTTGGGCACATGCAGTAATGCAGAGGTAGTGCTAGTACAGTATACAGTATCTTTGTCAAAGAAGGTCTGAGAGAAATTAATCAATTTTTTATTGTACGCTGTCAGTACCTTAACGTAAATAAAAAAAAGTATTTGTCATGAAAGGAACAAGAGCATTTAAACAAAACATATTTTACTGAACATCTCTTTCTCTCTTTCTGATTTAATTTCTCTCTTTTTTCTTCTGAAGTGTTCCATTGGCTTATGAGCGCAGTAAGGCAGATCATATTCAAGTTGCTAAGGCTGGTGTATTTTATTAAACAGCTTTCTTATTCTTATTCGCACGAGGGTGTGAACTCGAAAACATGGATCAAGGAGATGTGAATGAGCAAAATTATATTTAGATTGTCCTGTCCAGTCACAACAGCAGAAGCACAATGAATGACAACACAACCCTGCTGTGATGCTCATGTCAGATGTGTTTTTGTTTGTTCCAAATGGTTTATGTTACAGCCTCAAGATATCTTACATTTAAGTGATATTGTGATATAAGTGAACAAACACCCACTTACAGGTTCTTACAGCAGTGAGTTATACTCATTATTTACATACCTAAATAGGTGGCATGGATCATTATATGCTCAATTGCATCTGTAATTGCTGGATTGTTGTATGCTGTCAGGTGTTTAAATTTATTTTGCTATGAAGATTAATAGCTTTTTAGGTGTTATTCTAACATAACGTGCTTCATTTCTTTTCAGGCTCATTAAACCAAACTCTTGCATGGCATGTCTAGAAAACATGACATGTGAATTGTTTCAAAAGAATAAGATTTGATGTTTGCTGGGAATGAGTCAATGCTAGTTAAGTGGGGTGCCCAGCTATTTAGATCCATTTGCTCATTCAAGTGTTAACACTGTTAGAGATGGTACAGTACATATGGTCACATTCTTCAAGTCTTCGCTAAGACTTTTTTCATTAAGAATAATAGTTGTCAATATTCTACAGAAAATGAAAGATGTTACCAAATAACCGATTGTCAAGACTGCTGGAAACAACCTGAAACCCTTTGTCTATAATAATGTCGCTAACATAAACATTTGTGCAGAATGATTTTATATAAATATTATATTTACATGAGACCGGGAATTACAATACAGCTTTAAGGGAGTTACTGTATGTAGGAAATATGCTATATTGGGAGTTTTATTTTTACTTGACTTGGTAAAAATATGTTTGGTTGATGGAAAAAGCCCTGACAGACCCACCTGCAAGGGATATTTTACTTTAGTATTTCTTTTTTTCAGATGTGACAATTTGCTGCTCCTCCGTAATCATTTTTAATTCTTTATTTCTATTGACGTATACATGATAATTAAAAGTCAAGCAGGTAATTACATGTTTAACGTATTTATATATCACTCTAAAGATTATTAAAAGAAAACATGCCATTTTTAAACAATACAAGGCGATAGAAAAAAAAGCCCAATAACCTTTAATTAATTTCAGTGGGATTTTTTTGGACATCCGACGATAAATCAATTCAGGTAAATTATTCTGTACATTTTCCTTTAATAGTCTCCATATTTATTGTCAGCTTTTAAGAGCCTGAATGTGGTGTGAAAGGAGATTGTTCTTAACCTCCCCTAATAATACACATTCTGGTTTAGTACTAGAAATGTAATTTTTCAGAAGAATGCAAGGAAAAATATATCTGATGTTATACTGTATCTAATATAAATGTAGTCGGGGCAAAGTTACAAAATACTGTTTTTAAAAATATTGTAACTCTACATTTTTAGACAAAATGCACATGAGATGTCCATAAGATGTTTAAGCAGTAATCCAAGATAGCAAAACATTCTGAGATGTTTCCTGGCCTGTCACTGTGTTCAGATGACCAGAAGATTTTAATCTTATTACAACAACAAGTATACTAAAGCTCACTGTAACTACATTTCTGATAAATCCGAGACCTGTTAAAAGCAATCTTACATCTCAGGCATGGTGTTATAAACAAGCAAAGTAGAATCCCTGTTTGTAATCTTTGGTTCTCACAAAAATAAGTTATTTTGCATTCTCTAAAAGTCCATTTTTATACCTACTGTAAGCAAGTCCAATATTTAAAAAGCAAAGAATTAGAGAAAAATCTATTAGCAAATGCTTCTGCAAAATCATTAACAGATGTTTTCTGTATTGTCTACAAGTGATTTACAAGTTAGATCTTTAGCCTCAAAAAAGAGATCATGAATTAAAGCAAAGGATAGTGGCCAACAAAATAACTATCCTACTACTTGCTTATTTAAAGATGAAAATGAGACATTTGTTATTTTGCAAGTCCTTTTTTTTAACCTGAGGTGTGCTATATAGGCACACTTACTGTTCACATAAAATTCTGGTTTCTTCTTGCAGTAATATCTGTCTGCTGAACTCATTTTAGGTACAACTGGAAGGTCACACTTTGACGGCTTGCCACTGACAGCTGGGTCTGTGATATCTTCAAATCAGTCTCAGAATTCTTAATTGCCTTTCAGGGAGACATCAGAAGGGAGCTGTGGGAATTGTTATTAGGTATTATAAATGTGTGATGAATCAAGGTGCCAGTCTGCTGGCCTGAGATGGCTGATGGAAGCTAGTCGTTAAGATCCATAAAGAAATATGTAGTGATAAAATTAATTAAAAGGATTTTCTTACTCGTACCCCCTCCTCCCCCCTAATCAGTGGAACAAATAATCTGACATAATCACATAATCACATTCTCCTCCAGCAGGTACTTTATCTTTGATCACTGATGACAGAGCTGTGCAGCTCTATGAGAAGCTGCTTCAGTGCTGGTGGATGAGACCTCACTGATTTCAAAATGTGAGATCCCTCTAAAACCATCTAAAAAATGATCTGTTTTAAAAGATTTCCATTCTGCTTCTGAGGCGCAGCGCCGGTCTTGTGCCCTTAAGCAACATACTTCACTCCCATTACTTTAGTAAAATGCCTGGCTATATAAGTGGGTACAAATTAAATCACTTTGGATAAAAGCAACAGCCAAATAAATCAATAACTTTTTTGGAAGTTGGCCACTTCCTTCTCTGCTTTTTTACAAGGCGGAGTCAGAGCTGGAAACGATGCTCTCGGCTTGACAGCACGTGTCTGTTCGGGGAACTGCCTGCCGCCAAGTGTGTTGCTACTCCGAGACATCAGCACTCTGGTGTGCTTTGCAGTGCCCTGCTGCAAGTCTCCCACTGCTGACAGTTTTCCGATGACCAGAGCAGAGAAAGTTCTATTGACCACTCACAGCTTTGGCAGACTGGTTTGCTGTTCTCCAGATGCATCCGTTTACAGATGTCTTTCTCCTTTACTTCTGTGATTCAAAACCTATTTCTGTGTAAAATCACTGTTTTAGGAACTGATGACTTCTTCGAAACAAAATATCATTGAGATTTTCGCCATTTTGACTTGCTTCTGCTGCAGTCGTCAAGCTAGGTTTACGCGGTTGCTGAAAAACTTGAAAGATGTGT